TATTATTTATTATTATATTTTTTTACCAAAAATGTAATAAAGTATCGAATATTATTATATGGTATTAATACATTTGGTTATAAAATTTTATGTAGCAAAAACTATTCTGTGATAATTTATCAATTCATAATATCTATCTCATTAAGTTTACCTGCAATTATTTTGCTTCCTCTTTCACACTTCTAATTTTACATTAAACATAGTTTATAACATTGTATTTTTTTCATTTCCATGACATAATGTCATTTGAGTTTGCTGTGTAAGAGCATCCAGCTTTTATGCTATTCAACTGCACATTCAATTATAGATTGTGTTTTAAACTTGTTTTTAACCACTTATTTTTTTACTATTTTTTATTTTATTTCAGGTGTGCCATTTTAGCTCTCTGCCAAAATGGCTTCAAGATAATGACTTTTTACATAGAGGTCACAGGCCACCTCTTCCTTCTTTTAATGCTTGTTTTCGATCCATATTTCGAATCCATACAGAAACTGGCAATATCTGGACTCATCTTCTTGGTATAAGTTTATATTATGTTTCTTTTATTTGCATAAGTATTCTTTATAGTAGATACTTAATTTACATACTGGATAAACTTCACTTCAGACTTCATCAGTCTTTTAAAATAACAAACAATGACTCAATATTGGTTAAAAATAAATTTCTATATTGTATATAGTATAGGCATCAACAGTTCAATATTATTATTAGATTCAAAAAAAATGTCTTAATTTTAATGAACTTTGTGCAAACATGCCCAGTAAAATTTCAAGGTGTCAATTTTTTTTTCCTCAATACATTTTCATTTTTCAGTGATATCATATTACATAAACACTTTTTTGCATTTTATTTTACATTTAATTCAATACTTACTCTACTTTAAGTTTGAATTTTGGTAAAAGAAAGTTTTTTTTATCTGTACTTAAGTGGTATGACACTTTTTTCCTGTATTTGTAAAAATTACCTAAAAACTTGCATGTTGTATCGAATTGTGGACATAGAAACAGCTGTAAAATTTAAGAGTTATAAATTCATTCTCTGATACAGCTTCATAAATTACCTTTTAAAGATACTGTTATTTAAGAGCTTAAGTACTTGTCACTATATCTATCACTTTGCTATATCTATCACTTTGCTATGTCTTTCACTTTGCTATGTCCAAAATTTCTTCAAATCTGCTTATATAGATTGTTATGAATTCTCAAAAGTTTTTGCTTATGTTATTTGCATAACATGTGCTCATAGTCTTGATAATCCTTTGACCCCAGTGCATTTTGTTCTATTTTTACCAACAGGTAGCCTCATCCGGCACATGGCTTAAGAAGCCCTAAAAAACTTTCACATTTTTAATAATCATATTATTTTTAATGTGATGAAATATTTACAGTTACATATAAAGATTTTAGCATGTTCCTTGAAGAATTTGTTTTACACAGATTGTATTCAGGTATATAACTAGACCCTTTGTATTTTTAAATTAAAGTTTTTATATAACTTTATTTTTTCTAGGACTCTTGATTTCTATGATCCTCTTCTAAATTTTCTCTTTTTGCACTGTTGCAAAACATTTAATTTTTAAGTAAAATTGGAGAATTTAAGTAACTAAAATTGATTTATTCACATATTTCTTTTTTAAAAAATGAGCTTTACTGTTAAATATATTTATTGTGTACTTAGTATAAAAAAAAATTGCTTGATAGTAATCATTAAGTTTAATACCAATCCTAGCACTATTCAAATTTAATGTTTTTGTAATATTATTTACAGTTGTAACATCACTCCAAAAATACACCTATTCAACATTTACTCTAATTTTTTTTTTGAGAAATTAGATTATAAAGGGGAATGTAAAAAAGAGCGAAGATAGATGCAAACAAGAGAAAAGTGATAAAAATAGACACAGAAAAACAGAATAAAATACAGAAAATAAAATATTTTTGCAAAATTATGATACAAGGTATTTTTAACTATTATAATTAGTCACAATTTCTGAAAAAAAATTATATTTAGGGTATCCACGCACCTGGAAAGTCATGAAAAATCATGGAAAGTCATAGATTTCGGTGTTGAACAAAATTTGTCATTAAATGTCATGATTTTCACTTTTTTTAAAAAAAAATCATGAAAAGTCATGGATTTAGGTCGCTGAAAAATCTAATTTTTAAAATGGAGTTTACCCTCGTCCCCCCCAGTCATATTTGATTAAAATAAAGAATGTTTTTATCATGTTCTTTAAAAATTATGGTGTTCTTTAAAAAATGAAAGAAAAGACATAATTTCTAGAGGGAAATTATCTTTTAAACTTCTGTAATTTCAGAATTTTGTTATTATAAATTTTTTTTATTTTATTAATTTAAAATTCTAGCTGAAGCAAGCCAGTCATTGGAGAATTTTTTTATTCCGAAATGAGAACAGAAAAATCGGGAGTATTTCTTTCCTTTCCAATGAACAAGAAAAGTATCTTTAGAATGTAACTCTGCAGAAAAAAAATTATTTGCTTTTGTATTTTTTTTTTAGCTATTTTATTGCTTTAACTCCTTCATTAATCTGTTTTTTAAATTTAAAATCTATAAATATGAAGATGCAGAGTATAACAGTTTTGGTTATTCCTATCATTTCAATAAATTTTATTATAATGCTTTTTTACATTTATTGTTGTGTTTTTGTCAGAGAAAATAGTAACTTTATTAAGTCATGAAAAATTCTTGGAATTAGTCATGGAAAGTCATGAATTTGAAAATCTAAAATGCAGCAGATACCTGTATACTTTTCCTGTTTTAAACTTTTTGTTTTCCTATTTTTAGCTTTTTTTTATATAAAATCTGTATATATTTCTGGTAAAATAAGCTTATTTAAATCCCTTCATAAAAGTTTCCTGGTAAAAATGTATGAAATAATTTATGTAATGCAACTAATTGCTTCTTAGTAAAAAAGCAGGAAAAGTATATGTAAATCTTCTACAGATTTTTCGTAGCATTACATGTGTTTTATTTGCATATTTACTAATAGTTCTTTAGCGGAGGTACAGAAAAATTGCACAGAACACTACTAAATGCTAAGTAAACATACAAATGAAGTACGTGTAAATCTATGGGGGTTTCTTCCTAGCACTACAGGGGTATTTCTTTTATTTATATACTAATATTTCCTTAGCTGAGATCCAAGAAAATTGTGCATATTGCTACTAAATAATTTTTAGGAGGAAAGGAAATATATGCAAATCTGCGATGGTTAGTTTTTAATGTTACAGGTGTCTTTCTTGTATATTTACTAATTTTTCTTCAGAAATCATGCAAGAAAACCTCTTGTAATGCTTCTTAATGCTTAACAGTAAACATACAAGGAAAGACCTTTAATACTACTAGCAGACCCTTTGTATATTAACTAACTTTAATGCAATAGTGTTACTGGATAAGATAATAGAATCCCTGTTTCCACTAGATAATAACACTACAATTTTTCTTACAGTGTACTTTGGGGTCAAATAATAATAACATCATATTACTTATATATTATGAATAATCTGGTATCATTCTTATCTTTGAAAGAATGTTACAAATATGGTATATCTTCTTTTTTTACTTGTAGGTTGCATATCATTTATTGGAATTGCTTTCTATTTTCTTACTCGTCCTTCTAATCAAATTCAGTGGCAAGAAAAAATAGTATTTGCAACATTTTTTGCTGGTGCAATAGCTTGTTTAGGGATGTCATTTACATTTCATACTGTTCATTGTCACTCAGAAAAAGTTGGGAAACTTTTTAGCAAGTATATATGATATTCTTATATTTATTTCTATTAAAAATAAAAGCATATTTCATGTATATGTACAATATAGTAATATTTTAATTATTCTTTAAAATATTATAATGAAAGCTATTTTTAAAATAAGTTTTTGATCAATTTATGCACCAAATATTACAGGAATGCTTCTTGTTAACTAAACGGAAATTTATTACAGCTATTCAAAGTGGAAAAATTTCTTCATATTTGCCTCATTATATGAACAATATTCAACTTATTTATAAGCTAATTTAAGACAACCTCAATTGTTTTCTGTAAATTAAATGTTGCGGCCTTGCATAATGACCAAACAAGCAAGATGCTGGTCATGATATAAAAACTTTATTTATTTATGCATCTCATTATTATTTTTTAGGTTTACAAGGCTTCATTATAGTTTTTTTTTTTTCAAAACTAAACTATTTATGAAAAATTGTATTGTTTAAAAAAATTGATAGAAGTAAAGAAAAAAATAGGAAAAACTTGGTCTGCAAGAAATTTGAAAAGTGTCTTTTTCATTCTTAATATCATAAATTACACAGTTATACAAAACTGTTGAAAAATTTATTTTATATTAGATGTCGTCGAACAGCCAATCCAATTTTGAGTTTTTTTAAGCATTATCTCCCTCCCATCAATGGTTCTACTTTTTATTAAAAAATAAATTAATTCATAAGGAGCATATACCTTTCTAAATTTGAGTTTTTTAAACTTAGTATATTCAGGGCTGATTGTGCTCCAGAAAAAATCCGGATTTCCGGAATTTTCGCTAAGAGTGAACCGGAAGTTTCCGGAGATTGAAGTTCCAGACGTTTCAAAAAATCATTGATCACAGAAGTTTCCGGAAATCAAACTTTCAAAGGTGGAACTTAAAACACAGTTTATTTTATTTGTTTGTAAGGGAGAGCCAGAGAGATACTTTATAAGCTTATATTCATGATTAATATTCATCTTTTATCAGTAAATAGTTGTTATAATCATAAACTCAAGAAAGAAAGACATATTTGTAAATTTTAATTATTTCTCCAGGTCATCATAGGTATGTGTAAAATTTTAAATATATTTTAAGTAAACTAAGAAATATTGAGAAAAAGGAAAAAAACCTTGTTTAAATTTTTTTCTAATTTTTCAATTTATACTGTTTTTTTTAATTTTTAAACTCAATAAATTTTCCGGAATTTTGACTTGGGCTCACAATCACCCCTGTATATTTTTATAGAACCATGGGAATCAGTAAATTAAGAAACCTAATGTCTGATCAAGCCAGATGGAAATGACTAGTTGGGTCAGCTCTAGCCTGTACTAGACTGTCATGCTGTTAAAAGAAGTCTTTATAGAATAACACCTGTTAATAAATAATCTATAATATTTACTTGAAGCTAGTTTTATTAAATTCAATGCATTTGATACAAGTAAATCGTTATTAAGTTGTATAAAAAATAAATTTCAGAAAATTTATTGTCGCTTTTATACTCTAAAAGATGTTCTTAGTACCATTTTTCTTTAATTGGTTTAAGAATTTCTCAGCAACCAATAAGAAAAAGATCCTCGAAATTTTTCAAATTTGTTTTTCATCTTTTTATCTAGCATTTTAAATAATTCTATGTCAAATAATATGTAACTGTGATACCATTAAAAAATTAAAAGTTTTGTTCAACTAGTCAAAGTTTATTGGGTTGCAATTTTGTATTAGCGAATGCAACAGCTTATAGGGGGCATTGTTATTTGAGATGAATGACTGCTAGCAGAACAACACATTCAGTTTTTCTAGAGATTTCTTCAGTATACATTGGATATGTTCCTTCTTTATAGTGCCTCATTAAATTTGAAAAAAAAAAATTTGATATTCCTTCTTATGCAGGGGACAATATAGAATATAGATCTCAAAATAGAATTTCTTTTTTTAAAAAAGAAATATCTAAAACACATTGGAAAAATATTTTTAAATGAACAAAAGAATGTATTGATATTCTTATAAGAAAGAAATCTTAATTCTCGAGAAATTGCTCCACTAAACTTAATGATCTAATATGAATAGTCTATTTAAACTTTACATCCTATAATTTTTTGAATGAAATAATTTCAAACATTAAAGTATACCAAAACATATAATCTTATGTAATTTAATTTTGAAAAGCAAGTTTTTTGACAATAATTTTTAAAGAAAAGTTAAAATTTTCAATAACAAAATTAACCGTAAAAATTTCTCATATTGAAATGAAAAATTTTCATTTTGAGATTATTATTATTTTTTGTCTTATAATCTTAAAAGTTCTTAATCAGATGTAAAAAATCATTCTATGTAGAACTATCATCAAATTAGAAGAAAAATATTTATAAGTAATTTTTTTTTTATGAAATCATGACACTTATCTGCTTCATAAGTCTGGTGAATCTTTAAATAAAATATTCTTTGATTTAAAAATGTTATTATCAAATAATATATACATGGATTATCACTTCATGACTTTAAGATGAAATACCTTACTATAAAATTTTGCAATTGTAAGGTCTCAATATAAATTTCAATATGTAACTTAAAAACAGAATAGCTGAATTCTAGTTGAAATTGATAATTTGAAATTTAAAAAGAAAAATACTTACCAAGAAAACATTAAAAATGTATTAGTAATCAACACAAATGTACTATTTAAAGTAAGTCTGATGATCCTTTACTGATGTTTTCCTAATTATATATACTCAAAAATATATACTATTATATAAAGAAGAAGAATGTTTAAGAACGGTTACAGTTCTGCACGTTCTTAAGTCACATTTATTTTCTTAAGTAGGTAAGGAACTTAAATATCTCCATTTTAATTTACAGTGAATTGAACACAAAAAAATTTTTTTACCATAATAGATATCCCTAATTGTATGCGATCATGAAATCAAAAGTTCTGAGCTCATCAAAATGATGTTGAAAGTTTGTTTATAAGGAAAGCATTAATGAAAATATGTTCTTGAAATGTTGTATGCATCCTGTTTCAAAAAGCTTTACCAATGTTATAGTTTGATAGATTGCTTTTTCAAGTACCTTGGCTTTTTTTCTTAGAGAAATTTTGTTGCCTATTGTCTGGAAAAAAAACACATTCGATTTATGCAGTTATTCTGATGGAACTGAATAGAAACTTAATAAATAGTAGCCTGAAATATCCCCCCACCCCCCCGTTAGAGTGGGTATTCACACGTTGTGGTCGTGAATAGCAAACTAATAATATTGTCCATAATAGTGATATTTTTACATTTGTCAGTATTACTGCTGAAAGTTTTAAGATTAAACTTTGAAATTTTGATCATAAAATGGCTATTATAACGAAAAGTTCATTTCCAACATATTCTTTATTTTTCTGAAAATGGCCTATTATTAAAAGCCATTAAATTATTGTTAATCCTAATTAAAGTAAAAGCTGATTATACTGAGTTAATTAACTTAAATTTCCTCAAAATGTATCATTAAAAGTCTTGAATCTAATTCAATTTGTTGTAAATTAAGCACTAATGTTGTCTTAAATTTGAATTGATTTTGCAAATATAATTGATGATGTTAGTGGAAGAAGGTACCAAGTCATTTTATGAACAATGCTCAAAATTTTGGTTTTAAAAGCATGTATAATTATCTGTATCTATAGACCCCATTTTTTCTCCCAAATCATTAAATAAAATGGTTCTTAAAAAGGAAAATGTGTTTTTTATTCAGCTTTCTGTTCTGTAATATTTTCTAATGCTTTTCTAAATTCATTAGAAAATTTTCAATTGTCATGGATAAATAAGTATTATTTTTAATTAAATTAATATTTTCAACAGTTAGATCTGTAAATTAGTAAGTTTGGCTTATAGTTAGAGTAAGAATTCACTCACAAATTATTTATATTTAGGCACTGAATTTTTTATTAGAATTCTATCATCTTAATTCTAAAATTCATACCTTGGATTTAATAGCATCAGCATTCCAGAAAATAATTTTAAACTCATTTGTTTACTAAATTTTTAATATATAATCATAATAATTTTATCTCCCATAATTAATTTCACCTCAATTCAATATTAATTTTTTTTAATTTTTTATTTCAGGTTAGACTATTGTGGAATAGCCTTCTTAATTATAGGATCATTTGTACCCTGGCTTTATTATGGATTCTATTGTAATTTTCAGCCTAAATTGATTTATTTGGTACTTGTAATAGTACTAGGTACTGCTGCGATCATTGTTTCCTTGTGGGATAAATTTAGTGAGCCCAGATTTCGATCAGTCAGAGCTGGTAAGATATGTTTCGAAAATGTCTTCCCAATGTTATGTGCTAATAATATTTATATACTGCATTCATTTTCAGATTTTATGTTTCGTGTTATTCTTTACCTATATTTTTCATATTGGTCCAAAGAATATTGTTTCTCACTATTTGATAGTTAGTAATAGAATTTTTTTTAAATATGCGAAGGCCTTAATTGTTGCAATTTTAAAAAAAATCGGATTTTTTAAAAATATTATTTTCATTTTATTATTTGAGCAGTTCAAGATTTACACTTTTGAAATTTGTGTGCAAGACAATGGGTCTAAAATACTCAAAAAATAAATTAATTATATTTTTTAATAAGATGCATAAATTATTGCATATTAAAGTTTCAGTCATAGGCAAATGTATGTTAAACAATTAATTCCTGAATATAATTATTAAAAATAAAAGTATTAGTTAAATTTATAAATGTAAAAGAATTAAATAAATCATCAAGATAACTGAAGTACATTTAAAAATACTACAGATTTTAGGGTCTTAACTCTATAAATAAAAACCAGTGTGCTTGATTCAGATACCCAGAATACACAGATTGATATACAGAATTTTTATTTTAGTAGTCTTTATTTTTTAAATGATTTGGATTTATGTGTTATATAAGCTTATTCAAATAAATAAAAATTGGGGTTAATTTTGAGCAATGGCATATACAGAAATTAATTTAGGTGGGCACATATTATTGCCATGAAATGAGTGATATTTTCAGTTTAGAATTATTATTTGATGATAAAACTAAAGAATTCACAATTTCTGTCTTATTTCTCTTATTTAATACAGCACAAGAATGAAAAATATTAGTTCTAAAAATTATGCAGTTAAATATCTATTAAGAAAAATTACATCATGAGAGCCAAAATTTCTACTTATCAGAATTAGTGAAATCCAACATCATTAAAAAATATCATGTAATTATTGAAAAAATGGTGAAAAAGGGCTACACACAAACACAAACTTTCTACTAAGCTATATTTACTCTCCTTTTCTATTTTTGCATAAGTTCAACACTTCTACTTATTTTGCTGATATTATATATGTACTAAGATGTTGATGAACCAAATAATTTTTTAAATATTTCAAACTTGAAAATGGCTGTTCAGCAGAATAGGCTGTAACAGACAAGATAACTAAAATTTTTTAAAGTTTATAGATACCTGAGAAAATATTTACATCGATCTCTTGTAATGCTGCTGTAGTAGTTAGTCTAGTCTGGTGGGCTAGTAATTTCTTTTTTTTAACTGATATTCTGCAGTCAAAATGCTGCAACTACACTCTGACAAATATGTTTTCTTTAGTATTTCTAATTTATTTTCATCTTCAGATGTGACATTCTCTGGTATGATTAAAATATTTAAGGAACTCATAATTGTTTAGTGCTTTGTGAATCTTTCTTTTGGGTGTAAAATTGCAGCATCCCAAAATTGATTAAAAACTGCTGTTCTTAAATAAGTTTTGGGTGATTCTGTAGTAAAGTTAGGGCAATACGTTATTTTTTTGTTAGTCATGGAACAACAATTTTATAGTCCTCATCTATTATTTGTTTTAAAACTGATTTCGATTTTAGGAAAGTAGAATTGGAAACTATCTCTGATTGATTGTGAATCATCAATTTTTTCTGCAATAGATCATTGCAAAATTTAATTGCAGCATTAAGATCCACTGCCTTAGAGTGCAAAATCCTAGACAGGGGCAACATAGGAGAAAATATTTTTTCTGTCAAAAATAAGGTAATTGCAAAATTGTTAGTTCTTCATGAACTTAAAACAATGCAGAACAGGCAAAGGAACCCTTATCAGGCCAGTTTACAATTGTTGCAAGACCATGAATCAAAGGACTGAGCAATTCTACCATCACCATACTAGATTCATGTCACTCTATCCAACATGTAGAAGATATACTATCCTGCAAAATACTATTTCATTTAGGAGTATTAATTAAGGAATACCATTTTTCAGTGACTCCAACACAATTATGAATGTCTTTAATTTGCCAAGTTAAGAGGATGAGAAGGTCAATGCGGATAGAAATTTATCTCTTAATTTGATTTGTACACCATTGAATGCTCTAGGAATGGCAGCAGAACCATCATATCCTGGACCTCTTATATATCTTAAATCCAAGCCTAATGATTCTAAAGTTTGGAAATTTGTGTTTTTTAAATCTTCTCCATGTTTTGAATTTACCAGCAATAACTGTAAAAAAAATTTAACTGGCAACTATTTGTTGTCCTTACTTTCTACAGATCTTACACATAAAGAAACTTACTCTATCAAAAAAAAGCATATGTGGTTTAATAGTCTATAATTGAAAGACATTTTCTTTTTAATTTACTCTTCCAATCAATTTTTTATAATTATTTCGTTGCAAGCATGTATAATTTCATTCTGTATTTTAAGCTATAAATATGATGCATTATTAGCAGCTGATTTGGAAGGCTCTGTTAGTACTTCATCTCCTGCATCAGTTTGGAACTGAAGTAGATAGCGGAAATTACCATCATGATTGTTATGTTCCTTGATTTCATTAATTTGGATGCAATCATGATGACTTCTTAAAGGAAGTCCATTTCTTCCACAGAAAATTACTGTTTTTATTAAAGGACTAAGTGTTTTACTATTTTCTTTTGCCTGTTGAACATTGGCACTATTGTGGCTTGTTTACGTCTTTGTACAATGCTTCTTAAATGGTCAGCTGTTAGCAATGAATGTGCATGATATTTTTTCTCGATGTTTCCTGAATTTTTCTTTTGATTTGTGCTGGAAATGAAAAAGTGAAACTAATTGTCCGAATGTTGGACTGTTTGAATTACCCACATACTCCTTAGCAAAAACTACACAATACTGTGGTGACGATTAATAATTAAGAAATGCATTCTGAATTTTAAAAGTAGGGTGACAACATTTAATTGACTAAAATTTACTTTTAGAATAGTTATCAATCTACAGCCTATACCAAATCACAACCAATACATGCACAGAATTTCTGTAAACAGTTGTGTAGAAATGAGAATCATAAGAATTTATTAATTTATCTTTATAGGATTTTAATGTTAATTAATTTGTTGACTATTAAGCACTATTGTTGCATGAACTTAACCATGTGGCATTGTAACATTAATATCAAGTTAAGCAAAGAAATACAAATATTAATTTGAATAATTTAGAGTGATTACTAAAAGTTGCATACAAAAAAAATTAGAGCCACATCCCCCTGATTAAAAAAATCAAAGCTATATGAAAGAAAATTTTGAATCTTATCACTCATTGTGGGCCCACTTTATCCTCTTAAGAAAATCCTTCTTTCAACTCTCTCTCTTTGCCAGCCCCTGCTTTCAAAAATTTCAACAAACCTTCTTCTGTCTTAAAAATAGCTAAATCCATTGCTAAAAAATTTGGTAGACGAGTACTGCTTATTTTTTCAAAAAAGAAGCCATCTCAAGTCAGAAAGAGACAGGCTGAGACTTGTGAAAAAAATATTTTACAATTTGACTTTAATATAGCAGTGCAGCCAAAGAAAAATCTCAAAACAGTATTAAAACTTGAATAAAAGAACTGGTTATAGCAAATAAGTTGTAGCAGCAATGTAATATTTACACTAAATTCAATAAATAATTACAATAAATAAAAGTGTAAGCCATGGGTATTCTAACAGTAAATTATACCAACATTTCTTTTTCACTTTTTCATTACCAATTCAAGAGTTTGGAAACACATATGTGGCTAGTGGCATCCAAATTTTTTGAAGAATATTGATTTTTCTTTGGCCTGGAATTTTTATATTATTTTGGGTGATTTGGGATAAATTATAACTTTTTGAACTCTGCTTTTGCATTTTCGATTTTCAGAAAGTTGATTTTTTACTTCATTGTTATTCAATGAGTTATTTTCTCCTTTTTTCCCAGGTTGTTTCTTTTTAAATAACTTAAAAGCAACTGTTCTTTCTCCTTGCTCATTGTCAAACTGATCACTTGTAAAAATATATCTTCAGCAGCCTTGTCTACTAACTACTTGTTTACAAAAGTCAAAACTATTGCTTATTGACAAATCAACTATGCAGATAGGTAACTAGGATAAGAAATCTTTTTGGGAAGGGTTCTTTTTTCCACCCCCTGACGAAGCAGTTTTTCTTTTCTTTTGGAACATTTCTCTCACTTTCGAGATTTGTAACTTTCAAACCCCCACTTCATGATTTCCCACGTAGCTAAGTACAGCTACAAATGAATCAACAATGTTCTCTGATCACACCTTCTTCACCCTTTCCTTTACTTCAAATAGAGAAACTAGTAACTATAGGGGGATTGTGTACAACCCCTATTTTCATCTACAATTGTCCCAGAGGCACTTTTTTGGAGGAAGAATATATATGTTAAAAACCGAAGGAGAATAGTTAATCCAGTTCGTTGTTGGACTGCATCTACCAGTTGCTGGGTGCATTGGAAATAAAATGACACATAGTGCTTCTAAGTACAAAACAACAATTATTCAGCAAAAATAAAACAACTCCAAAGTCAGAGCTACCTTCTCCGATGGAATCATAATATTGAATAACAAAATCTGACGCCAAGCACAGAGGCGCACATTGCCAATTCTTTCCTCATTTCACAACACTCTCCCCACGTTGAGAATCAGAGTTAGTCTTCAGCTCATAAAGAACATTATTAAGCAAATCAAGTCTTTTGGGAGCTCTTACACATCTTCCAGAGGAAGTATATCACTGCATTAACGTCTTATCAGGTGCTGAGCCACCTTTGATTTTGCATTCAGCACCAGAATTCGATGCCTCTGCACCAAGTTTCTTATCCGCAATGACGCTCTTTTCATCCGCCTGAATTTCTAGTGGGAAGATATGTTGTTGGACGTAAAATTATTCCATGCTGGATCTTAAGTTTAACAGTGCGAATCTTCCCATCGTGTCCTGGAATCAACTCAATAATTTTAGCCAAGGGCCAAAATAGATGTTTTTTGTTATCATCTCCTATCAGGACTATTTTTCCTTCACTGGGAATTAGTTCCATTGTCGCTATAAATTGTTCTAGGTTGACCACGTCTGGCAATAAATCGACGAAGTGCCAGGAGAAAAGCGTCTAAAGATAGGAATTTTATTTTATTTTATAACCGTCGTTGAAAAGCCGACCATTTTTTCATTGAGTGTTTTTAAGAAGTGCTTCATTTTTCTTTTTAAAAAAGGATAAATTTTTTTTTTACCATGTCGATTTTTGCCATGTGTTATACAACAGCGTGCTTTTTACATTGTTCTATGGTACGTTTTCGTAATTCATTGAACCACAATCTATTTCGGTGTACCGTCGGTCCATAACTTATGAAAGCGCCAATCATTTTACATGTTTGATTAAATACTTGGGAGTCCGCATGTGCGTCTACTTAGCTGGGTTCGGTGAGATTCTTGCAACTTTCATGTGCAACTCTGCTGCATTTATCAAGATATTCTCAATTTCAAGCTTCATTTTCCACCCTCTGATATCGAACCGAAAAATCTCTCGATCATTTTATAATGGCTAATATAATCAAGAAAAGAGTTCTTTGTCAGAAACTAGTTATTTTATCATGATCATGTAAAGTCTTTGAAAACTATTTTGCATTTTTTTTAATGTATATAGTGCTTAAAAAATACTTAAAAGGTGCTTATTTTTTGGTGAAAGATTTGGCTACGCACCCTGACTGATCCTGCGTCAACTCTCGAATTTCTTTAATCCTCTTTTCTACAAAAACAGACCAATTTCCCTGTTCTTTTATCCACCAAAGTCAGAGCTTCCTTCTCCGACGGAATCATAACATTGAATAACAAAATCTGAGGCCAAGCACCGAGGCGCACAATCCATCCGAGGCAAGGAATCCGTCCAAAATGTAATTTTTAAACCTGGCAAATTGAGCGCCTTAATAATAGATTTTGCAAGTCTAGAACCAATACAACAGGCCATTAATTCTAAGCGAGGAATGCTTAGGGGTTTCATGGGCGCTACTCTAGACTTTGCCCGAACTAAGTTTCTTTTAACTTCTGAATTCAATACCTATCTTACAAAGACGCACACTGCATAGACCCCCTTTAAAACACCCACAAATACATGTAGTTCAGACATATTATTAATTAACACATACCGAGACAATGTTACATCTTTTAAAATATATAATTCTTTTAGCCATTTTAAAAATGCATTTACATCATTTGTAGATAATTCATCATCCTAACTGATTTTTAACTTCCACAATTCTTGTAATAAGAGTTTCAGAAGCAATGTAGTTGTCGTTAATAAACCAATGGGATCAAAAAAAGTCTGTACAATGCCCAAAATTAATCTTTTTGTAATTTTCATATCGCATGTTAATGCGTCAATATCCGTACAACATCTTAGCATGTCATTGTCCAAATTCCGAAAAGTCAGAGCTTACTTCTTCAACGGAATCATAACATTCAATAACAAAATCTGACGCCAAGCACCAAGGCGCGCATTGCTAACTCTTTCCTCACTTCACTTCATTTCACAACAATATACTTGCCTATTCTTTTCCAGGAATTAGTTTATACTGATCTATTTTTTTTCTCATCATAATAAAAAAAAATTAAGCATGAGAAGGGAAAAATTTCACTTTTTTATGTTTTAGTTCAGAATATCAATGATAGTTTAATAAAAGAAACATTTTAATTTTGAGAACATTCATGTGTTTCTTTGCACCTCTCCCTCCATGGGTGAGCCACTGATTTTGGAAACCAGCTCACATTTCATTCCTCAGTACAACTTTTAAAAATAAAAAAAATCCTGACATTGTAAAACAATGATTTTTTTTTTGCTTCTTGATTAGAACAAAAATAAAAATAATTGAAAGGTATCATTCATTCAAAGTGTATTAAGATATGAGAATTATCATATATAATGAAGAAAAAATTGCAGTATATAATAAACATTATTCATAAGTTCGAAGTCAAATTTGCCTGTTTTCTACTTTAATGAAAATCTTTAATATAATAAATTATTCTAATAAAATTATTTATATGTACCTAATGTATTCTATGAGTTGATAATTGTGTTTAGTTTTGTATGATAAATCTGTTTTCTATATAGTGTTTATAATGGAGAAATGAATGCTAGAAACATTATTATTGTAATTCACTTCCAAGAAATATTCACAAATATTTAAATTTCAACATATTAATGCATAAGTTGTTAATATCTGACTTCATATTAAAGTATAAGTTAAAATAAATATGTTCATTGACTTAATGTAGGGTGCCTCATCAAAAATACCTAATTTCAAAATTAAATATTTCTTAATAATTGGTGATAAAAAATAAAATAACAGTTGATATTAATAAAAGTTTTAAAATTGTTATATATAATTTTTCAAATTAGATTTAAACCTTGTTAATCATTGCCCCTGTGGACTCTGTAAGGAGGCCTTAAAATTGTTGTTGCAATATTGAGTCCCTCTTCAGAACTCAGGTTCAATTGTCGTGTACCATATCATCTGTTGACAAACTCAAAAATTGTGTGCACTGCTCTTATTGCTTCCACTATCAATAAAAACTGCTTCATTCTTTGATCGCCAATTATTAAAGAGTTATTTAATTTTGAAGTCTTTGGTCTGACATGCTGTATACTCACGTCAGTACTTGTAATTAAATGGATAAAATTATAACTAAGAAATATATATTTTTAGGTGTTTTTATGGGTTTTGGATTAAGTGGTGTTGTACCAGCTGTTCACTATTTAATTGCTGAAGGCTGGTTTAGAGCAGTATATCAAGCATCTTTTGGATGGCTGTGTCTTATGGGTATGCTATATATTGCAGGGGCTTTATGCTATGCATTACGTATCCCGGAAAGATTTTTTCCTGGCAGATGTGACATCTGGGTAAGTAATACTGAATTTTGCTTCAGAATATTATTAGATATGCGTGTGTTTGTTTATTAGGTAGGTGGCAAAATGACATCTGGATCAGCAATGTCTAGTTTTATTTCACATTAGTTTTAGAAATTTTTGTTGGTAGATTAGATCAAAGCTGTTTTTGTGTACTGTGCACAAAAAATGGACTACCCTGAATAACTTTTGATCTTGTGATCGAATCTTTTTATGTTCTAGTACTCAATCTGAATGGTTAAAGGAGGTAACCTCAAATTTGCTAATTAATTAGTGCAGACGATATTTTAAGTTCTAAAATCAGACACAAAAATGCACTTTCTCTGACTAAACATACCTTTTTTTTTTTTTTTTTTTTTTTTTGAAGGATTCCGATTTCTGAACCTTAAAATATAGAGGGTAGCCGTAATCTGGGAAACATGGCCTCCATAGTTTGGTCAGGAAAGCGATCCAAAGTTTAGACCCTTTAATGCTAGTTTTAATTTTTGTGTATTTCTGCATATCTCAAGAGCTTTTTAAGTTAACTGAAAATTTTTTGCACACAATTATAAAATATGTTTGTCCGAAGATAATTCCATGCAAAAAGTAAATTGTAGCAAATACTTATCATTTTTTATTATTGTATTTAGTCATAGTCGAAAAAACTTTCTATTGAAAGATATAAAAAATTTTTAATAATTTTAAAGTGTGTTATTTTACATGACAAAATATAAAATTTGAGCTTTTGCCATGTAAAATTACGTACTTTAAAATTATGTAAAAAATTGTATACCTTACAATTTTAAAAAAAATTCGATTATTATTAAATAAAATAATTAAAAATTATAAATATTTGCAAAAATCTATTTTTTGCATGGAATTATCTTTGGCTGAACGAATTTTATAATTGTATTTAAAATATTTTCAATTTGCTTAAAAAGTTCTCGAGATATACCGAAATACGAAAAAAATAAAATTAACATTAAGGGGTCCAGAATTTGGATTGCTCTCCTGACCGAACTGTGAGGACCATATTTCCCAGATTGCAGCTACCCCCTATGTTTTGGGGGTCAGAAATCTGAATTGATCCGGAGAATGTTTGTTTATTCAGAGAAAGTACGTTTTTGACTCTGATTTCACAGCTTAAAGTATCATCTGCACTAATTATTCATTATATTTGAGGTTACCGTTCAAACTAATAAGATTGGGTCCTAGAACATAAAGATCCGATCATTAGATCAAAAGTTATTCAAGGTGCTCCTTTTTTTTGGTGCACTGAATATTGCATTTGTGTGTAATTCTCACCACGAACTTTAGATTTAAAAAAAGGCTTTCTGTATATAATTTATTTTCATCTACAACTTTTTGTGTAGTTTTTTACAGAAAGCTGAAACTATAATAGTAAATTGGACAAAAAAAACTGGTAGATACTTTTTATTAATGTTGTTATTAAAGGATATTGTTTTGATTTGATGCCTTCTTTAAGGATCTGTTTTATAAGTGTATATCACCCTCTGTAATACATCTCTATTCTCCTGATCTTGAATTTCAGGTTAATTTTTTATTAATGTCCCAAATTCCCTAATGTGTAATTTAATGTCCCTTTTTTTAGTCACTTATACTTCTTTTATAAAATATCTTGTGGAACAATGTATATATATATATNTATATATATACATGTATGTATGTAAAATGATGCAGTCGGACCAAGCAGGGAAACAGACACTGGATTTTATTGAAAGTAAAATTATTTATTTAGATCATTTTCTAATGGATGACGAGCGAAAAGTGAAGTTAACTCCATCGATGATCAGTCTTTCTGGTAGAGAAAATCTTGCAAAAAAATCCGAAAATGTCTCTAGGGAAAAGAGGGAGATCTTAGAAATTACTATTGGTTTATGAAATAGGTCGAGTGATTCCCACGAAGATTAAAGGGAAAAATGTCTTTATTTATAATTATGCATACTTGAGCCAAAAATAGATTTAGGAACAGGATGTGGCTTTTTAAAAGTATGAGAAAGTTTCGATTTGAATAACTAATTAGGACAAAGTTTTATAGCAGAGAAAATAACATAATAGAAGCTTTTTATGTTACATATATATATATATATATATATATATATATTAAAAAATGAAAACCATGCTGAATTACATTGAAAGAAATAAAACATGGTAGTATATTTTTGAAGAATAAGTTAACAAAATTATAATGATGCAATAGACATTTAAAAATTTCTCAAATTTTCATCATTGAATTTTATGAGAAAAATAGTTTCTTCTGATTCTTTCAAAATAATTCCATACAAATTGACAATGAGTTTTTTTTCCTCTAAAAATGGAATTCAAATATGGGTTTTTATTTTAGTGAGAAACGGACCAAAATTTTAATGATGCAAAACACACTTAAGGGTAAACGCCAGTGCCCATTTTTCATATGCTTTCAGGAAAATTGGGCCAACTTTGCTGCTAATGAAGAAAACATTTCAAAACTTCAAAAAAGCATCTTTAAGAAGTTATTTTATGACCTAAGTGTAATTGTTAAGCGAAAATCATGCTCATTTTTTATTATATTCAATTTTAAAACGTTTGAGTTAAGATAAGCCATAGTTAATCATGTATCTTAAAGATGGCATAACCAGGCCCATTACATCTAAAAACTTATAAGTTTAGTCACTTAAATACAGTGTTGAAAAAAATTTTAAAAGTTTTTCGAAAGCATAATTATACAATTCTAGAACTATTTCTGCTACTTTCAATGATAATTCTAGATTAAATTAGCTAGTCTGATTACACTGCTCTATGTATTTAAAATGTTGCCAACTGTAAAGGTATCTACTTCCACTACATAACATCATTCTTAATGACAACCTAATATGTTAGTTTACGTAATGACTATTTTCAAAGTAGATTTTCTGAGGTTGAATGGAGAAGTACAGGTGCTCACCCAAAGCTAGTATCATTATCGCTATGATTTTCAATGTTTATGCAAAATTACATTATTTCATGACATCTTTTTCACTGAGAATCACATAATCTGATATTATCTGACGATTCAACTTGTAGGTTTTTAAAATATAAAAAAATTAAATTGTGAATGCAGGAAAATGAAATTTTATTAATTTCGTGCAGTTTCTTTTTGCATTTTAACTTCACTTTTAAAACTAAATCATGTATAAAAAGCACGTTATATTTAAAATGACTTATTTTAATTGAACTCACATTTTTATTTTAAGATTTTGAAACTCAAAGCAATGTAAAAAGTTCTAACAACATATTCCAGTTATAATTTATTTGAATATTTAACTTTTCAGAATGATAAAAATCTTTTAAAAAAAATTTACACATGAATTTCTCGACTTTTGCATGATACATATATTTAAATTATGTAAGATTATATAATTAGATTAAGAATTCTAGTTGGCGAGCTTCATATCTTTACATATACAACTATTGAATTAATCTAATGGGATAATATTCTTGGTTATGCTAGATGGAAAATGCGTTTTTCTAAGAACCATTTTTTTAAAGGTTTTAAGTCATGAACTGAATTTTTTGTCCATTAAAAATTTATACATCATGTATTTGTTTTGTTTTTTTGAACTTTTTTTTTATTACACATTGATTCTTTTCATTGGGAAAATCTAGGAGATCTATCTTCATCTATATTTCATTAGGAGCACTTACATACTGAAACAAACATACAATTCTGGTCATCACCCATAAAACCATAAATAAAATATATACCGTAAACCGGGACGAGTCTACCCATCCAGGGGCGAGTCTACCCATTTTAGTTTTATTTAATTTTCACTATTTTAAATTGCAAATACAAAAATTTTTACCGACGGAAGACTTAGTTCAGACTCTAAGGAAGATGGCGCTGTAGTAGTTTGATCCGTTTTTATTTATTTGGTGTCTTTTTAACCGACCTGTTCAAACGTCTTTTGAGAGATTTGTATTGAAAATCAGCAAACTTTTAGTTGGTGCTCCGTAAGTATATTATTATTATTACTATTTTCACTTTGGTTAAGTGATAAACTTATCTAAGACTAAGATTACATTAATTTTATATGAAAAAAAACAAAAAGAATGTAAGTTTTGCTGTTGTAAACAAAAAGCCAGAATTCGCGGGGCGAGTCTACCCATTCGTATTTAGTTTTAATAAAGCATAATAATATAATTTAGAACTTTGTTTATATTAAAATTAAGTCATTTTAAATGAATTTGAGTATATTATTTTAATTCTGCATTGATAAATTTATCATTAATAAGAAAATTTATAGGTTAAATATAAATGTAAATATAAAATATGTTTATTTTACCTATTTTTTCAATTTTTATATTACAAAATTAACTTTTTTTATTTAATGCAAGTTAAATAAATTATTATTTATAAATTATTATTACCTCCCAAAAGAATGGGAAAAGGATTTTTCATGATTCCCAATGTTTGAATTTCGATTTTGTTAATAATCTTTAATTATTATTATTTATTAATTATTTAATTGTAAATTTATATTAATTTTAATTTATTTTTATCAACAATAATCAGAAAAAAATGTTATTTTATAATGTTAATGATTATAAAAACAAAACTGTGATCAAAATGTGATAATCGATCAAATACTCAATTTGTGTTATTTTATGAATAAAAAAATGGAATATATAATAAAGTTATGAATTTTACTTCATAAATATCCTATATAGTAACTAAAATAACAATTTAATAGTAAAATTTGATTATTTACAATGTTAACATTCATTTTAGTAGAATGGGTAGACTCGCCCCATACGAGAGATTTGTCAGCAGTTCTATAAAAATATACAGTAACAGCGTAACTGTTAATATTTTCCAAAATCGATTTCGCAGCTTTAAAGAGGGATAAATATTGATTCCGAAACACCTATTAAAAGCCTTTTTTCTTTAATATTTACAAAAGTTTGACCACTTGAAAGTTGACAAACTGAAAAAATGGGTAGACTCGCCCCGGTTTACGGTAATTTTCATGATACAGTATAAGTTTTTTATTTCAAAAAATAAGACATCATGTTATTTGTAACACAGAAGAAGTAAGAACCATTGATAGTATCTCCCCTAGAGCTTTTATGAAGACAAAACTCTTTATATCAATTATATAATTTTTTGTGCCTTATTTTGCAACTATATTTAATAACAATTTCCCCAATTTACCTGTCAGCAACTAAATAGTTATTTAGTTTATAACTATCATAACTATTTAATTAATATATTCACTCCTTTTGTTTGATTCTTGCAATTTTTAAGACTACTTTCAAGAGTTTAGTTAAAGAAATTTAATTTATACTTACCAATGTAAAAATGCACTTAAAACTGTTTATAAAAGTTAAAATATTTCATAAAGACTTAGTTAAGAAACATTAAAGAAATTGTCTTTAATGAAATCTTGATTCTTTGTTGCGAATGTTCAGATTTTGATAATTTTTGCTTCATTTCTTCATAATTTTTGCTTCATTTATTATTTTGCTTCATTTATTATATTTTGCTTCATTTATGATAGTTTCTCACGAGAATAAAAATTTATTTTATTTATGCTGTTTCTTTTCTGAAGAAAAATGTTTACAATTTCCAGTCAAAGGGGAGAGTATAAAGGGATGCCATGTACAATGACAGGGTTACAAGTATAGTCATCCAAGCTTAGAGAGACATTTTATAACCGTTGTTGAACAGCGAATCTAAATTTTGTGTTTACGACTACTAATGTTCAACTCTGTAGCCTTGTAATTTTGAACCCAATCCAGAAGACAAGAGAACTCCTGCATTAAGCATTGGGAGAAATTTGCCTTCATAGAGAACTTTTTAATAGGACTAACCACATTTGCATGATATGAAGAGAAAAACCAGAAAATCTTCCCACTGTTAGCCTGACAGCAGGGGGACTCTTACCCATGATTCATCTACCACTGAGAATACTTCGGCACTATGGTCTGTGCAAGCCAGGTGTGGAATTCGTGTCAACCAGTCATCCTTGGGATTCAAACCTCAGTCACTTTATTGGGAGACCAGTACTTTATCTTCTGAGCCGCAGTGGCTCAAGCTAAGAGAGAAAGAAAATCTGGTTCTTTAACGCCTAAATGAATTTGTGGACTCCCTAAGATTTCGCATAATGGAAGTTCCAAACAGTTATCAACCAAGGCTTCTGGAAACAAGACGAGCCTCACAATCGATATTAGACATGCGCAAAAAGCAAATAATAATATTTATTACAATAATTATAACAATCTCCTTAATTTTTTTAATTCTTTAGTGTGAGAAGCATATTTTTAACATTTGGCTATAAATCTTTTCTTTTTATCAAATTTCCTAAAAATTTGCAAAAATTAAAGTCTAATTTAAGTTATTTTTTAAATTTATCTATATTAAAGGGAAGAATGATTTTCGAATATTTATTTATTCATAAAAATTAAATTTCGTGATTAATGCAATTTCTTTTTCTTTATATGCATTGAAATTAGTAGAAATTTTCAAATAAAATTAATAATTCTTTTTTTAATATTTAATTACAATCTTTTAAACTTCTAAAGAAATATGCATAAAATGTAAAAAAGCAATGAGCTTGAAAATTTAACAAATTTTTCTTTAGATTACGTACTTATTTTGCTGTGGTATTATATCTAATAAAATCCAATAAAGACATAAAAAAAGTTTTTCGTAGTTAAAATCTTCAAACAATTCTAAATAGTCTTCTGAAATTAAGCCTATTATCTAACTCCATCTTTAGTTATTCTTTTATCAATTTGTATATATTGTTTTTATTCTGTTCTTTTAATACTATATCCGCTTATAAAAACTACTTGAAATCATTTTTTTTTCGAACTTGAAAAGTCTACTTAAACTAATTTTTACTTTTAAAAATTAGTAAAAAAAATCTACTATACAACTTAGCGTACTATGTCTTTGTGTAACATTATAATTGACAATAATAAGTTTATACATTTTGAAATAATTCTGTAATCAAAAGCAATAATTACTAGTGTGTCTTTGGACAAAAAAGTGAAACAAAAGGAAAAGAAAAAAAAATCACTTCGAGATTAATCTTTTGTTATGATATCAAACTATTTTTGTAGTTTTTAGAGACATTGGTCAATATTAAACTGCTCGAGTTTTTTTCTTGGAAATTGTAAAAATAAGCGCCCTAAAAATTTACAAGGAGCATCTTTTTCACTTTCTACCTTTTAATTACATACATATGTTAAGAAAATATTAATAATAAATAAATAAATTAAACATAAAAAGGCATGAAAAAACATGTTAGTACATAGCAACACTTGCATTTTTTAAAACCTGTATTCAACTAATTTTATTGAAAACAGTTTTCTGTCTGTTATCAATATAATTTTTATATTGATTTTCTGTGTTTATAATTTTTTTAGAATTAAATAAACTAAAAATTTCAATTTTCAGTTCATTCACTGAGACATAATGCATGCATCTCTGTTTATTCTGTATATTTCAACTTAAATTGAATGTAAGGCACAAGGTTCAAGGTTTAGGGGCACAAGGTTCAAAAAAGGACATGCTGCATCAACCCAAAATGCTGTAGCATGTCTGATTGTAACAAAGAAACATTTCTAGTTCCAACTTTTACCCATTATTATGAAATATTTTATACCAGTTGTTAAATTTATATAATTACTGACAAGTGCTTTTCTTCCGTAGCTTTTTCTTCCGATTTTTAGTTTTCAGTGCTGTTTTTCTAGTCTACCAAATCTAGCATTTTTTCTTTAATTTCATAGAATATATATAAATTCCAAAATCTGTAGGAAATGAGTTACTTAATATATAATTTGTCTTTCTAAACATACAAATTTTGAATTAAGTCCTGTTTATTAAATTTTTTCCCCTGAAATATTAATGATAACAGTACATCCAATTATTCTCAGATTTTAACTGAAAAAAAATGTATCATATATGCTAAGATCTCTTTCTTGTACTGATATATTTAAAACTTAACTGGATTTAGAATTCTTTTTCTGATAAAACTAATTATAAGTTTGAGGAATTCGCAAATACAGTACTGAAAGATTAAGAAAGCACTGATTTAATAAAGACATTTTGTTCAATTGAAATCAAAACCATTTAAACATATCCAAGTCACTTCCATGAAAAACTAATTTTCCTCAGAGAAAGGAATTCCAAGCAAGAAGTGATACAATACTATTTACTAAATGCTTTTCTGATTCTTTTTTCACCATTATCATTTTGAAAAAGAGGCCAAATCCAGGTGATTCTCAGAGCCATTTATTTTATGACTTTTACTCTAAAAATGACTGACTTTGATCCTTAGCACATTCATTTCACTATTTGACACCACAGAATCTGTATTTTTATCAGAAAAATAGTTTTATAATTGTTTTACTTTTTAAGAAAGTGTCATATATTTTGACACTTAAGTATCGCATCTGCGGTGTAACTTTCTATGGAATTAAAAATAATTTTGTTAAAAAAAATTTAAAAATGACTGTGTTAAAAAAAACTAGCAAAATTTTGATGATGCTGTTTCTCTAAAATTAATTCAATAAATTTTTATTGTGTAACTATTATTCTTATGAGATAAATAGTTTCTAATGGTATCACGCTTTAAAATGGTGCCAACTTTGGATTTGTGTTGTAACTTTTTTCAGAAAATAAAAGTTAAAATATATTTATATTTTTCTGCAGATAGACTAGAAGTGTAATAACTTGGAATTTGATTGACTTATTAATCTCTAGAAAAATTTCAACTTATTAATTTTAAGGAATCACATCTGTTTAAGATTTTAAAAAACAAAGTAACAAGAATTTCAAAGTAAAATTTTTAAATTACTTAAAGTAAGAAAATTTTTTTCTTCTCAAACTTTCAAAACAAACTAATATCTCTTTTTTTTAAGTATTGTTAAACAAAATATTGTGATGTTATTTATATGTTCTTATACCAAATAAAATACTGTTTCATAAAAAAATTTTTTATTGCATTTAATAATGTAAGTACTTGAAATTTTTAAGACTAAATATTTATATATCCGAATCACATTGAAATAATTTACTCGCATTATATTTCCTTACATGTCTCTTCTTTTTTTTCTTAGTTTCACAGCCATCAAATATTTCATATACTAGTCATTGCAGCAGCTTGTGTACACTATCATGGAATTACAGAAATGGCCATGTATCGCTTGACAATGGGAGACTGTGCAGAAAAACCACCAGATTATTTTCCTCCTTAGTGATGTTAGTAATGGCTTTCGTTGTTGAAAAATATTTTTGTAAATTTGTTTTGTTTAATATTGTAAATTTTTTTTTAAGTCTTCATTTGTTATCCCACACATTCCATGTTATTTTTTGTTGATCCATACCAAATTGTTGAGTTATTTTATGTACATGAATCTCATGAAATTTGTAGAAGCTGTGATCGAAACATGTAGCTTGTCATGTTTCTGCCTTATTGAAAAATTTATTAGAGAATATTATGATATTTATAATAATCATATTTAAAGAGTGCAGTTGTATGTTTCTAAAAATTTGTAAGTTGAATCAATCAAATTATCCAAATACATTAGCAATAAACTATTATTGAAGCATGCAATTATTGTCCTGTGTTACTTAACATTATGATTCTGAAAAGTTTTAAATCAAAGTTTTAACAAATATTGTATTGGAATCTAATTTTTTTATAAAGCATTCCTGTAGTTACGTAGAATTACAAATATTCTGTGAATTCATGCCCTTTAACTATTTTACATAATTGTGAAAAATTTTTGAAAAAAAAAAACACTATCATCAGGAAAGATTCAAAACTGAAAAGTTCTTTGAAATCATGTTTATTTAAAATTAATTAAAACATGCTTTCTGACAAAAAGTAGCAAAATATTTGTGAGGAGACAAACTTATTTTTCAGTTGTTTGCTTTCATAACATCAGAAGTTAAAGTTTGTGACTGCTAAGTTACCTGCTAGATTCTAAGAAATCTCCTGATAACCATGATACATTTTTTTAACATTATTTGGTATGGCTAAGTTACAATGAACTGTTCAGTTTTTAATCCCTTTATATGTCTATTAGTTTTTTATGGACTTTGCAAGTTTTGATTCTTAACACCTTACTACTTTCTCATAAGCTGTGAACATAATTGTAACTGGCCCACTTACAGTAAAATAAGGAAAATGAATCAGGCATATAACCAAGAAACCGTTTTCATCTGAAAATACATAGTATGCATGGAAATATAACAAAAAACTGATATTGAAAACTTTTTTGCAAGTACAACGTAATCTTGATACTTATCATGAAAAGCCTTGAATGTGGGAAAAATTCTTCCCCTTGTATGCCTTTAAAAGATCTAAGAATTTTTTAATGTATAAAAATATAAATAGTATGTATAAAAAACCTTGTGGCAAAATGTCTTTAAAGAAAAGAGTTTTTGTTAGTAATTTTTCCTTGAGCATTCATGTTTTAATATTACATTACTTTTTATTTTACCATACCTTTATTATTTTTTGTGTTTCTTTATTTCTTTTTAAAAAATATATATCAGGGACTTATTGCAAGATTCTTCCTAAATTTTATCAGCTAACACTTGATAAAAAAACAGACTAAGATTTTTAAAATTTTGTCATAGATTGCTTTGGCATTAAGCTTTGAATATAAAAATTGATGGCATGAACTGGGAAGAGCTCATAAGCATTATACTTTTAAGAAAAAAGAGTTCTCAATTTATAAATAGGTTAAAAAAAAATTCAGAAGCCAGAGTCATGTAATATGAATCAGTCTTTGAAATTTTAATAGTAGGGTAAAATGTTTGATTTTTTTTTGTAGTTGATAGAAAGAACACCTTAATATTCTTGTTAGTTTCCTTTGTGCTATAATTCTTGTTCATTTCAATAAGAATTTGATGAATTTTTAACGCAACTAATCTATTTAAAAGTAAAACTCATGCATGAACATTATCAATATCCGAGATTTTCTTCTTCTGGTGAACAAAGGGAGATATTAAAACTAATTGCGTATGTATAGCATATTCAGAATTCTCCCTAAAAATGAAAACGGACAGGGCACTTCCTCACAGAGAAGGGTGCTTTGAATTTTGAAAGAGCACTCATTCATTTAACACTATAAAAATTTATCAAATTGTGTCATAAAAGTAAAATATTCACCTAACAGCCCATTGTGGTCACTGGGGTTATGGAAGTTAAGGCTCCACAATTTCATGACCAACATGATTATTACTATTTGGGTAACATTGTGTACAAACCGCCTTTACTTCTTAGACGAGTTTTCTGCATAGCTTTTATTATTTTCAGTTTATATAAATTTTGATTATAATCTAATTATTCACAGTTCAAGGTAAACTTATAAAATTTTTATTTCCAATTTATTTTATGTTACAAATTTTGAAACAATTTTCTCTGCATGTTACTCACACACACAAAAATAGGGGAGATTTCCATATCGTGACCTGTGGCAGAATGTTCGCCAAATCTTTGGGGCAGCAGCTCACAAGAAACTAAGAAAAATACCACAGAAAGGGACCAACTCAGAGGGTATAACTCCTAGTCAGCCCCGAGCAAACCTCTACATGTTTTTTTAAAATAATTTTTCCCATTTAAAACCAATTTGGCACCTTGGCCATTGTAGTTAGCGTGGCAATAAATAAATCATGGCAAAAATAAATTATAAGATCTCCAATAAATGAATAATTCATTGCTTGAATGAAAAGTTAATATTTTTTTTTACTGTTCAGCAAGTTATTCAAAAACTGTTCTTTTCATGAATTATTTAACTTGTCTTCAGATAATGAATGACACTTCTAAACATAGTGGTCAAAAAATTATTATCTAAAAAAAAATTTTGTATCTTTGATTCAAAAGTAAATTAAGTGAGATGAAAATAAAAATTTCTGTGTACTTAAATTTCAAAATTCTGCCTGTTTTCATAAGATTAACAAGACAAAACATATTAAATTGAAAAGAATGAATGTCACACTCAATTGAAAAAAGACCACAGGATCATTCTTGATGCTCACTCCTCCCCCTGTTTTTGTTTTGCATTCACTCTGAGAAAATTGGCATGCAATTTTACTCAATGCCAATGTTTGTTGAATGCTTTTTCAAGACATAAATCTCTAGAGAAGAGATTGTAACGTGTCTACCACTACAATCATTAAATACCATTTCACTAGCATATAAGACTTCTGATAGATAAAGTTTTACATTGTCGGCATTCTAGTCATCTATCTGATCTGATCTATCTGTTTAAACTTACAAATGTTAACTCTCTTATCTAAATGGGCAGCTTCAGAACCAATATAAATCACCAGAAATTTTGGTTGCATTTCAATTATCTTAGGAAACAGAATATAGTGCTGAGTAATCCTATTTTGCTAAGAAAAGGGGTCAGAATGGGGAGGAAACAATTAATTTTCTTATTTTTAAAATAATAATCATGATAATTAAATTGAAACTAATTGTATTTATTATGAAAATAACGTCATAAATTTTATATAGTATTTAGACGTTCACTTGAATAGCAATATTGCTTGCATATTATAATCTATAGCATTTAAGACTTTTCTAAGTTCAACGAGTTCTAAGTGCACTTTACAGTTCAAGCTAATTTCAGATAAGGAAATTTTATTTTATTTAAAATCATAGTCATTCCTAATGTTATTAAAAGATCGATTAATAAATCAGGTTCATAAAAAAAAATGTTTTTCATTACCTTCTTTCAAAAATTTTAAATGGCTTATTAATTAAGGATCTTTAACATGAATATTTTCAACTATGTGCTCCTTTTGGCAGCAAAATAAATACATAAATTTAGTATACTTCAATTATAAGAATTACTTAAAATGACGAGTTTTAATAATTTTCATACAATGATTTTAAATTGAAGTAAGTTGAAATAATTTTAAACAATAATAATTTTTTGCTGCAATCAACGACAAAATATCCGTTGTACAAAAATGTACTTTCTCTGAATAAAATTTTTTTTTTTTAACATATTTGGATTCCTGACAATCAAAAGAGGGGGAAGGTAGACAAAATTTTAAGGGATTGGATCATAAATTGGAGAGCTAGGATGCTATATATATTTGGTGATATACATAGCAACCTCTCCCTCCCTCCAAAAAAAAAAGAACAGCCAATCAAAGTCGCTACCACAAATGAGTAATTTAAGATATTCATAGACTAATTCAAAGGAAAAATACCGAATTTTACTGTTTCTAAGCAACCAAGTTCAGCTAGTAAAAAAAAAAAAATGTATGCTCAGAGAGATTTATTTATTAATACTTAATGGAAATAGAAAAATATCTCGAAATTTCTAGGCAATAGAAATTTTTTTAGCTGATTTCTGACCAAAAAGCAAAGATTATTTTCTTTTTATTTCCTTTGCAAAGAAAATTTGAATCGATTTATAAATTATTTATGATTTTCCAAGCTTTTAGAATGTGAACAAATAAATTTTTTATCTGACGTTATTTGTGTTTTTTAAGTTGTTTTTACTTCATTTATATGAGGATTTTATACTATAATCTAATTTACATAACTTACTGAAATTTCATGCAAAAATATAGGAAAAATCATTTTTGCAGCTTTGATCAGATTTTTTGGGCTAGAAAGTTTAGAGTAACAAAACAAAATGTAGAGGGTATGGTAATTCTAAAGCACATTCACAAGGTTTTAGATAATTTACGGTATTTCTTTTTTCTATAACTGAAGAAATTGGTAAATGTTAAGTGGAATTTTTAAATAAAAAAAAACATTGAAGTATGTAATTTTTAAGAATAACATGTTGTAATAATATGCTGTATATTGTAGGATTCATTGCTTAAAAAAATCGCTTCATTCCGCCAAATATTAAGATGACATGGGTTTTTTTTGGGGTAAAGATGATTTGCAAATAGCATCCTGACGTTTCGATACATTCTGATACTTATTTTTGCAAATTCACCATAAAATATCGCTCAACATGCTTTTCAATTATGATTTGCTGCATTTATCACCTATTTCCACTACTATGATTTATTTCTTCCTTAATTTACAAACTTATTTTACGATTCTCACCATCACTATATTAATCTGATACAACACACTCCTTTTAAACAGAGTTTGTAAGGTCAAGATACTAAAATGGTGGCAACAAAACTTATAAGATAAAAGGCTGAAACAATTAACTCCAAATATCTGGTTTCAAAATTTTGATTTTAAAATCAAAGGTAACTTCATAGTTACAATATTGATGTTACTGTTCTCTTACTTTTTTTAAGGACCGCATGAACCCTGTTAAAATATTAAAATACAGATGTTTAATTTTACGAACATAAAATATTTATCAAAATAATGATCAAGACCCCAATGTAAAACAGTATAATTGATAAAAACTTCACCGGAATAAAAAATTGGAAAGTGGAAATAAAAGTAGACATGTTTCGAACGTTCAAAAATAAGCGCCCATTCTCAAGACTCCCCAGGTGTGAATGACTTGTGACGTTAATTTTTGGACGCTCAAAACATGTCTGCTTTTACTATGATCTTTAAATTTTTTTAAATTAATGAAGTTTTTATCTTTTCGCTTCAATTTCTTCGGATTATTCATTTAGTAACAAAGTTTATTAAATTACTTCACGAGATATTAAAATAAGTTTTACGTATGATAATGGCATAGACACTAAGATTGAAGAAATAATAATTAGTCACAACTTGCTAAAAAAATCTAGTACAATTTTTTTCACAGTTAGCCTTAAAAACATTTTTTACACAAGGACAGTTATTTCAAACAGGTTAACGTTCTAGGCGAAATTGTTTGAAAATGTATTTTTTATTTATCGATTCCAAAATTTATTCGAGATATATTTTAGGGTATACTTTAGGCGTACTTCGATAATGTTTATTTTTACACCCATATTTGCTTTTAATTAATAAATATGTTTAAAATAAACTATTCAAGCAATATAATTTAAAGCATTTATAGTATAACAGTAAAAGGGACTTCGAACGCATAGCCTTATCCTTACTATCAACAAATTAATGGAATAAGCTTAAATAAATAATAATAGTTAGATTGCATTTTGGCTTTCAAGCAATAATATGTTTCGTTCAAACAGATTTCAATTCTGGAAATAACGAAATTATTGAGAAGGTTCTCTGGAGCAATATCATTCGTATACTCTTATGATGAAATATAGGAAATATTTGTATTCATAGTTTCTGTTAAAAAAAAAAAAATTTTAACCCTGTCGCTGCTTAAATTTTATTATTTTTTTTTTTTTAATAAAACAGGCTCAAAAATTGCTTATTTTTCATTTCATATTTCAAATCATATGATGATTCTACAAACAGCACGGTTTTGAAATCTTTTTACAAATTTCTCAATTTTTAGTATTTGTTGCTTAACAAAATAAGGCGTTTTCTTGATAACAAATTACACTATTTTAATATCTTATGAATTGTGCTAAAGTTGAAAAATAATTTTAACAAAAGTAAATTTTTTCAACATCTTTTTCTAAAAGAGCAGCTTTCTCAAAGTTAACGGTGTAATATATAAATTTAAGTATAAAAATAAAATTGCGGTACGAATTTGTTCATTTAAAAAACAAAGCAAATAGTTGTGGTTTTTTGAATTGCACGAATATGCATTTAGTTTTCACAAATCAAACGAATAAGAAACAATATAATAAAAAAAGGAATAATTTGTTTGTTCATTCTTAGAGAAAAAGGGTGTGCTTATTTATTACGACCAAGCGGACGTTTCGCACCGAGTAATTTTAATATAGCAAAATGTACTTAAATTCTTATCAGCTAACTTCAGTTCTGAGACTCGAAAAAAAAACTTTAATTAATATATCAAGGCATTAGTTTTTTACGTATCTTACTTCTAAAGTTTCTTTTCCCCTTTGTAAAAACTTGTAAAAGTAAAATAATATTTTTTTTCAACCACGTACTCTTATGTCTGAAGATTGAAATAATCGATTCATCGTCATTTTGAAATAATCGATTTTTTATTGAATGTAAATCAACTCTAATATTTCGATTTTTCTTAGAGCTTTTTCGGTAATCCATTTGCGAATCTATCTTGAAAAAAATGCACAATAACGATTCTTGGTGAGCTACAACGAGAAAATGGCGCAGACTCTAATAAAATTAATATAATGGGCGTAGACTCTAATAAAATTAATATAAAGTTTGAAACATAACAAAATACAAAATTTTATATGCTTAACAAGACTAAGGCGGAGAGAACGAGCGAAGCCCAAGTTTGGCGAGCAGAGCAAGGAGCTCACTCACTGTTATAATATGTCTAAAAAACTATAAAAACCATACTCTTAAAAGTTTTTTTAAAATTTGAATTTCATTTTTTTGGGATATCAGATTATTAACGATAAAATACATATATTATCAACGACATATTTAGTTATTAAGCATGTGTTACGTTTAGTTTATTTCTTTTTACGGAAACAAATCGAAAAGGATTAAAAACTTTAATAACAAGTTGTTTAGTTACGATTTTTTAATACTTTTTTAGGTTAATTTAAATAAAGTATTATTAAAAAGTTATTGTCTTTGTACAGTTATTCTGTCCTTAAACAAAGTCCTTCATGACGTACATATAATTTCTTCTTCTTGCGGCAAGATTCAACTCTTAACTGACATTCTGTATTGTAAGTTAGTCCATCACTGCCACAAACAGGATTATAATGTTCTTTACAGTTTGTTGCACAACGACAAGATGCTCGACGATTTTCTTCAAAACAATCACCATGGAATTTGCAGAATTTCTTTTCACACGGCTCTGAAAAATATACTTTTCTCTTCACTTTTACTGTGGTAAAACGAATTTTATACACATAAATAAAATTATGTATTTATATATAGTACATGTTTTGATTAATCTTACGAGGAACAAAATCATAATATTAATATGTTTTATTTTAATTGTAAATACGGTTTTAGAATTATGTTTTTAAAGGTAAAAAAAACTTGGATATCATAAAAAGTACATTTAAGCAAAATATTGGACACTGTTAGAAAACTGGATGTTGTATGATGCAAGAGAAATCAAATTTAATAAAGAAGAAAAAAAAATCCCATAATATGATTATTCTCTATTATAATTTTCAGATTGATACTTTTATTTTGGATTTTGTCCTTCCTTGTTTTTTGAAAAAAATTAGATAAATAGAAAATAAAATTTTTTTGAAATATTTTAAAGATTTTATTAATAAATCTCGATAAACTGAAGTTTTAATGTGTGCGAGAACTAAATTTCGGTGAATTTTATAATAACAAATACTGTAACTCAAAGCTATTTCACTCAAAAAAGTGATTTTGCGCCACAAAAAAAATATTTTTTAAATTTTCCTTATCATTTAGAATGAAAATTTACGTGCTACGTTAAAGAAGAGTTGTGTAGATATACAGTCAACCCTCCTATAACGCGGTACTCTCAGAACGCGGTTTCCATATAACGCGGAGCTGAAAATGCGACAGCCCTCCTATAACGCGGTACTCTCAGAACGCGGTTTCCGTCAACAGCATCCCATAAGTTCCTTCCGCGTAGCCTAAGAATGTTTAGCCTAAGCTGTTTAGTTCGTTAGGGCCTATTTGAATTATAAGGCAACAGATGGCGCCAGTTTCATGTAGGTCCAGGCAGTGGGATCGCGACATAGTAACNTTTGCCTATTAAAAGAAGACGAGTTAGGCGACTCATATTATCTGACAGCGAGGATGAGTGTTGAAAGATTAAATTTTACAAAAGTCTTTCTTGTTTTTGTTGGAAAACAGTTTTTTAGTTTAATTTTGGTATCATTTCTTTATATAAACTCTTCAATTCAATAAAATAATTTATAATTTATCTTGTCCTTATTGGTCTCCATATAACGCGGTACGAATGATGTGGTTTGTACTAATTCTGCATTTCTTATAGCGCGGCTTCCATACAACGCGGTAGACGGTTTCCATAGAACGCGCTACGAATGAGCCTGGTTTGTACGATTAAATCCGAGTTTCTTATAGCGCGGTTTCCATATAACGCGGTACGCACTCACCGCGTTATAGGAGGGTTGACTGTACTTTCTTTTTAAACAGAGCTCGTAAGATTTTTAAGATACTGAAATGGGGGCACAAAAANGTAACAGAAATCAAATTAAACAAATAATAGATGCCACTTCTTAATGAAATTTCTTTTCCTTTGTTCGATGTTGGTTTTGTTGTTTCATTGTAAATAATAATAGAAACAATAATAGTGATGTTGTTTCTATTCACAATTAAAATCATATGCTTGATACTTTTATTTTGGATTTTCTCTTGACCGTCGCCAATAGTCCATTGTGCAGCTCTAGTGCGACGTAAATGAACAAAAAAAAATGAACAAGAACATGGATTTTGTCTAGAATTTGATTTGAAAAATTAGATAGTAGAAGAAAAAAAATTTACGAAATAGTTTCAAAATTTTATAAATAAATCTTGATAACTAGAAGGTTTAATATGATCTAGAATTAACTTTTTTTTTTCGATTTCAAAGTAAAAAATAATGTGCTGCAAAGTTATATCATTTAAAAAAGTGACTCTGTTCANCATGGATTTTGTCTAGAATTTGAAAAATTAGATAATAGAAGAAAAAAAATTTACGCAATAGTTTCAAAATTTTATAAATAAATCTTGATAACTAGAAGGTTTAATATGATCTAGAATTAACTTTTTTTTTTCAATTTTAAAGTAAAAAATAATGTGCTGCAAAGTTATATCATTTAAAAAAGTGACTATGTTCACAGAAAAAATCTTTATTAAAATTGTCGTCATCGTTTAGAGTGAAGCTTTACCTGCTACGTTAAAGAAGAGGTGCGGTAATTAATAATTCATTCACTTAAAAAATTCCCCTGTTTTTCTACCTATTCGGCGTCAATTTAGTCAAAAATTACGTAGAATGTAACAGCAACATAAAAGTAACGTAGGACCAAAAGTATTTTCAAAATTCTTAGCATTGAAACAAATTAAAATATAGCTTTCTTTTTTATATACAGCACCAAAAAAAAACTACCTATTATTCTCTTATACAAATGTATCCTTCTAACAGTATATATAAGCTCGATATATATAAAATGCTCATTAAATGTATTATTTGAATACTTTTATCACATTGTTTTTAAAATCTTTGCTGTTATTTTTTATTTATTTACTTATTTTTTTAAATTTTTAGTAATCATTACAAATACAAATGCTTGTAGAAAATGTTTTATAATATTTTTTACTTTAAAAGGTTTTTTCTTTTTTGTTCTAAACTACTTAAAATTTCTTTCACTACGTGATAAATTAACCTAATCATTGTTTCCTTTTTTATGATCTAATGATTAAAATCAAAAAATATTTTTAAAATCTCTAGTGATTAAAATCATGGTTTAAATCGTTAATTCTAACCATTTGATTAGAATCTTTTAACACTTCGTTGAAAAAAGCTAATGTTTATTTTCAACATTTCGTTTGTTTTGTTTTAGCGTTAATTGAAGCTATTTAATATGGTTCAAAATAATATGGTTCATGATATGCACACAATATTTTTGTATTTTTCATTTCTTAGAAAATACTTTTGTCATGAAACAAAAAAAAGTAAACAAAACCGAAGATATCACTATGAATAACTTTCGCTCTAATGGTCTGATCTTCAATAACTAAGCGCCAATTTTAATGACACAAAAGGTTGATCTTAAATATGTAAATAATTAGTGCTAACTATTAATTAAATTACCAAATCAGACAAAAAAAAACGTACTTTTTCTGACAAATTTCAACCTCACAACCTTTTTTTTTGGGGGGGGGAGGAGGGAATCTAAAAAATATGTTTCTAATAGTCGGAGAGTGCAGGAAAATTTTTGCCTGCTAATGTTAAATTTGTCTCATTACGTATTTCGTCATATTTCTGGAACTATGTAAGCAAATTAAAATACTTTTTCCTACAATTATTAAACTCAACTATCCAAAGATAATTCCATGCAAAAATAATTTTTAATAATTATTTTATGTTCCTTAATCCGTCGAATAATGAAGAAGTTAAAAATTCCAAAAAAGTCATATTTTAGATTTTTATTTCTGAAGAACTATTCGACCATCTTCTATCAAATTTTGTAATTCATGACTTAAATTTGCATACTTTAAAATGATATAAAATTTTTATGTATAATTCATAATTTTTCTTTCATTATTAAACACAATAATAAAAACAATGGATTATAAAACAATGGAATGGATAATAAAAATAAATCTTAGGAACTATTAAACTTATTTCGCTAAAATTTTTTATTTTGCCACATAAAATTACATTAGTTAAAATGATGTAACAAAGTTCGAATACCTTACAATTCAAATTTTTTTCAACTGTAATTGAATAAAATTACAAAAAATAATAAATAATTACTTAAAATTATTTCTGCATAGAATTATTCTTGGAATCTGAATTAGTTTTAGATAAACTAGTTTTATAATTGCGAGCAAAATTTTTTAGATTCGCTTGAATAATTTCAGAAACATGAATACAGAAGCAGAATTCAGAAACAAAATACACAAAAGGTGAAATTAACATTAAGAGGTCTTAATTTCGACCTCTTTCCCGATTGAACTATTGGGACCAAAGTTTAACATCAGCTACCCCCAAATTTTGTTGCTCAGAAATTTAAATTAGCCGGAAAACGGTATGTTTATTCAGAGAAAATATGTTCTTTGTCTGGTTCCGTAACTTAATAGTGATCACTAATTAATAAGTATATTTTAGATCAACCTGTTGAGCTCCTGAAATTTGCACTTAGATCGAAAAATCTGTTAATGAAATTCTAGGTTATTCAAGGTGATAACTTTTCTGTCCTTTTTTTTTTCTGTACTAATGTTTAAATAGAGCAATCCTATTATACAATGGATGATATTAAAATACACCTATTTTAAGGAAGTCTATATGTTTCTGAAAAAATTAAAATTTGAGTATTATAGTGGTTTTTGGTAGTCACAAATGTTTTTTTTTAAAATTTTATTTTAAAAAATTTCATTAAAAAAAATCAAAGGATCGCATTGTGAAATTCTGTTACATCCTTACACAAAGGACTTAACTACAGTTAAAACTTCTAAAACCCATGAACTTAATTAAAAATTTAACCCACGAACACAGCTGCCTGATTTTTTTTGCTTGGATCTGTAAATGGAAATACGCTTCCTAATTTTTTCTCTGCGTTCTCAACTTAATGTTCCTATAGAAATCATTAGGATTAGGAGAGATATGATTTATGCAACTTTCCTTTCCTTAAAAACCTTTTAAGATGTGTCCTAACTTTCGACCTCTGCCTTGATTAAACTATCGGGACAAAATTTTTCAGTTCGTGATTTTCTTAAGCTTTAAAAAATCACATTATATTTTATATTAAAAAGAACTTTGGACAATTTATCTTTAGTACTAGTTCATTTCATTTAGCAAAAATAACCACTGCTATTATTTACCTTGTTTTATTATTTAAATGTATTTTTTCTAAACAAAAAGAGAATCTAAAAAGATATTTTTTTCAATCAAAAAATTATAATACTTTTAATCTTTTAATTAGTTTATTTTACTTAAAAACTTCCAATGGTTTTTACTTTTTTCTATTAACATTTACAGGGGATGGACAAAATAATAAAAACACTTCGATACTAACTTGTTCTTTCATATTTCTCAAAAAATACTTAGAAAACTAATTTTAAAATTTCAGAGGAGTTTAAAAGTCATGCGATTTCTCATACATATCAATAGAGTTTCAAGCTTTTAGAGGTTTGAGGGATGGTCAATAAATTACGAAAGAAAAAGAATATTTCTGAACGTCCTATGCCAAAAAATACAGCGATAAGCTTTTAACTCATATCAATTACATTATTACATTACAATTAATTAATGTATTATTACATTACAATTAATGTATGAAATAATGGCACAAAATTTCGTAAACCTAGCTTAAATATTCATAGAGATATGGACATTTTCATAAAAAATAATTTTTTCGACCTACGTCTTCTTACTTTAACTGCAGAAATATTCAATAAAATTTTTAAAAAAAAGTAATTTTTCAAAAATAATAAAAGTACTTCAAAATTTGAAAATTTTTCTTTTTTGAAAATTGCACAAGGTATGAGTATTTAAAGTAATACTTTTATACTGCTCACGAGCAGAAAATTGAGAAAAAAAATATTTTTTTTCATAATTTTCATGAGAATATTACTTGGTATCGTATGAAAAAAAATCCGATTTTAATATCTCGAAAATTCAAAAAGTTTCTAGCAATTTTCTAAGTAATTTTTTTAATTTGGAAATACATTTGTGAATGGTAATGGATTTAAATACAAATTTAATTTTGTACAATTAAACAAATTTTATTAAAAATTACATCAGCATTATATAGTTCCACGTCCTATTAAATTATGTCTTATTTCGCATGTTTTATTTCCTAATACCATCACATTTTTTGTCAGGACCATAATTTTAGGGTATTTATCATTTGTTATGAAATTTTGTTTTATGGCAAAATGAAATTTGTGGAAAACCGCTTATCATTCAGAGCTTTCAATGAAAAAGTACAAAAGCTACTTAGAAATTTGCTAGAAAATTTTTGCATTTTCAAGATATTCAAATTGGACTTTTTTCATAAGTTATCAAATACGATTCTAAAACATTTTTTTTATTTATTTATGTATTTTTTTTTTTAATGTTTTCCGCTCATGCGCAGTACGACAGGATTACTTTAAATACTCATATCTTGAGCAATTTTGAACTTTATCGATTTTTATTATTAATTAAAAATTAAACTGAAAATGTTGTTTAATTGTATTGAATATTTCTGCAGTAATAGTAAGAAAACGTAAGTAAAAAAAAAGGGGAATTTTTTTTTATTTTATAAAAATGTCTATATTTTCATGAATATTCAAGCTAGGCTTACAAAACTTTATGTTGTTATTTTATATGATAATTAAAGTAATTGACAGGAGTTACAAGCTTATCGCTGTATTTTTTTGGCATAGGGTGCTCAGAAACATTCCTTTTCATTCATAATTTATTACCGATCCCTCAAACCTTCTAAAAGCTTTGAACTTTATTGATATGTATGAGTAATCACATGACTTAAACACTTCTTAAGTTTTAAAATAATTTTCCAAGTATTTCTTGAGAAATAAGAAAAAATGTGTTAGCATAGCAGTTGTTTCCATTATTTTGTCCAACCCCTGTAATTCGCTCTAACTAAGAAATATTTTTAGAAAAATTCTACTTTTATAATTCTTTAAAATTTTTTACATACTTGTTTTATAAGTTATTTATTTATTACTTATAAGATTCTACTTGCTCTTGTTTCTATAGGAATCAGTGGCGGATCCAGCAGGGGGGTCATAGGGGTCATGACCCCCCCCCAAAAAAAAAAAGAATTGGGGGAAAAAAATAATAATTTTTTTAATAGTTTACGAAAGAAATAAAATATTTTAAAAATTATTTAAGGGGGTATATACACCTAGGTAGGTCGGAAAAATCGATTTTTTTTTCATCTAATTATGTTCTGCACTGTTTCAAGAATCATAATCCAAAAGATTAAAACGAAATTCGTCATAGTTTGATTGTAAACATTAATAATGTTGAAGCGCGCTTCAAAAGGTTTAACCGAAGATTGTATTTGCCAAAGTTTCTGTAAAAACGCATTGCATTTATTATTTAAAGATTTTGAATACTTGAATTATTTATGTATTGTTCATTATGAAAAAAATAAATGAGAAGTCTAGCATTAAAAACCCCAGTTTTTTTTTTCAAAAAAATATTTAAAAAAAAACATTTTTTTGTAAAAAAAATTAATTGTGGGCGGGGGGATCTGAGTCTATGACCCTCCCCAGGAAAAATTTCTGGATCCACCCCTGATAGGAATCCAATTCAACTCCAAGTCTTTGATTTTAAATGAAGCTTCTGTCTATTTTGGTTTGATTTTCGAATTGCATTTGACACTTAATATTTATTTTCAACGTAGCGTATTCTGGAGAACCTAACGAATGTCAAATACGCATTTATTTTTACCGACAGGCGTCTTTTAAGGTCACTCAGTTGGTTAAAAAATATCTTTTGTTAGTATGCAGAGATATATACAAAAATGACGCTACCCGATATGCAACATTTCAGGTAAACATAGTTTAACACAAATTTTGCATTGACTAGCTGGAACGATAAATAAGAAATTAGAAAATCAATGAATTGCAAAAATTTACACAATTTATAATTTCAATATGACGGTCTCAATTTGCAAAATTATACACTTAGCGAAAATTAATACTTGGGGAAAATTTACAATATCAATCATATATCATAACTTGCTCAAAAAGGCATTCCTTAAGATATTTAGGCTTTCTACAGAATGCCAGCGTTTTATGTATTGCCGGTAATATTGGTATTAAATTTCAAATAAAGTCTCTTTGCACGAGTAAATGCTGTAAAATATTATCTTGTTCCTTATTCTTAAGGCTTTTGAAATAGTAATAAAACTGGTTTTTTTTCTTTTTTTTTTCAATTTCTAGTGGAAGTATTTCAGTTTAAACATCAAAAATTAGCTAATAAAATATGAATGCGTTATTTAAATTTGTCTTTTTACTTACCTTCAGCAATTGGTGATCTACGCCTATATGGAACACCTATGAATACACAAAATTGCTTTAAAAGTAAACATTTAAAGTTGCTATACATCAATTTACTAATAATGTTATTTAAATTGGAAAAAAAATTAAAAATATATGTGGGTGACATGGGGAATATTTGTGTTCTGAATCTGTATTTTTGATACGTTTTGAACAAAAAATTGTTTTATCCATATTTTTAAACTTCTTTAACACTAAATTTCTGATTTTAAACTATACCAATATATTCTTTTTTATTTTTATTTTATTGAATTTTCATCTATATGACATGCCCTATATGTATAATTTATACGTTCTAGAGAATTTGTACCAAAAACTGATTTTCTCTCCAGTTTTTTTTTCTTCTAACAATTAATATGAATATATGAAGAGTAAAATCAAATAATAATTATATCTGAAATAATAGTCTGCTCCATGGCTTTTCTGTCATCCACATGCCTGAAAAGTACTAATATGATTTTAAAATAGAGTTTCAAAAGTAGTAACACTAATAGAACATAAGCTTTGTAACGTATTGTGCTGAATGAGGTTGCATTTGACTGTTCTTGAAAGATTTTGTGATAACCTTGTATGATTTGCTTCATTTTCAAGGTCATTAACATAGTGATTTAATTTTAACTATGTATAATGACAATTCTTACAAATCTGAGATTTTTACTGTAAATAAGCTTATATAGCTTTTGAAATGTGTAATGATAATTCCTATAATCCAAGATTTTTACAGCAAATAAGCCTTTACAACCTAAATAATAGGGTATAATTTGTATTAATAGACGAAAGTAAAAAACAACGTAAATAAAGCACAGAAATGGGCATACTACAATTTCGGTTCTTTAAACCAGAACTTTCGTTGGTGTCTAAACACCAAATGACATTAGTAATAAAGATGTACAAAGGGGCTTAACGAATCAGGACAGAGGAACAAGTGAAAAAAGAAAATGTGGGTCGGGATAGCCTGATCGGTAGGGCGCTGGGCCCATGTCCGAGAGTTCGACCCCCCCCCGGCCGAAGACTCCCCGTGTAGTTGGTGACTGATGCACGTTAAAATTCTGTCGAGTCGCAAAGTCCTCCATGTTCCCATAACAAATCAATACCTCTGGTGGTACTGGATTGGAGATCGATCGTTCTCTAATTCAGGTCAAAATTACGATCTGTGAATGAATGAATGGATGCATGAATGGGTCCCCCTTATAAACAGGTGTGACGTATGATGTGGCAGAAGTCGAATTCTTGGCCATAGTGGCGCCACTGAAAAACAAGAATCTCACACTCTGCCTTAAATTTGCTCGGTTTCACCAAGCAGGCTTGTGGCAAGTGGCATTCCAACCACCAACCAGAAAATGTGGTGTGAGGGGTTTTGGTAGGAACTCCAAAAAAAATAGAAATGGGGACTAAAAATAGAACAGGTTTCCATACATTGGAAGAGGGTGCTATATTAGAGAGGTAACTAACACGAAATCAGTCTCACCTCAATGAAGTCAGATTATATAATGATATGTGAAGGAATCCACGATCAACAGCGATAGCTTAAATGAACTCTTCAGTTGAGAAGGTAACTAGCACGAAATCAGTTCCCAAGTTTCAACCCAATAAAGTCATCTCCTCAATGAAGAGCTTATTTACCTTAAAGCTATCACTGCTGATCGTGGATTCATTTTAATATTATTGATTTCATTTATAGAAAATTAATCGCGCAATCCAAAAAACACTCTAATTCGATATTAAACAATTTGATTGTTTTATCCTATTAAAGAAAATAAGTCCCCAAATTGCTTCAAATTTGAATAAATTTGAGCAATTTTTTCCCCTGCAAATTAACTGAACTTCCCCAACCTTAAGAACCCTTTAGCTGATCGTAACAGTTGGTGTATTTACCATATTTCCCGTCAATGTGGTTTATCTTATATTGAACAAAATAAAAGTACCCTTAAATTTTGATTTAAAGAACATGAAATATATGTCTAAAATCTGGATATTAAATGATTTTCCATCCCCCAATATAGTTGGAATTCTAATCTTAGGTTTGTTTTTCTGCCAATAACCCTTCAACACTGCTCTTCATCTACCGAACTTGATTTCTAGGAATCACTCCATATTTCGAAAACTTCTCATAGTTTAGTTAATGATTTTTTTTATATAGCACTCACTTCCAATGTATAGAAATATATTCTAATTTAATCTTTTGCCCCCTGGGATTTCCACCAAACTTCCTCAAACCTGTTTCTTATAACCCTTCTTTTTATTATCTCCTTCCAACTTGTTCCTCTGTTTTGATTGGTAAAACCACTTCGCACGGGTTTATCTCTTTACTTTCCTAATTTAAATTCTGAAGTCGATTAAAAAATTTCTTAAAAAAGAGTTCTTGTTTAATTCTATTAATTTAAAGTTTTTAATTGGATTTGAATTAAAAGATTCTATGAAGGAATTAATAAATTTAAAAAATCTATCGAAAATTGGAAAAATACAGATAATAGTATTTTATTTATTTATTTATTTTTACTATTTGTGAATTAAAGTGAAAACTAAAGAAGTTGCGTAAAATATGAAATTTCAAAAATAAAGATTTAATGTAAAAATACAAAAATAAACAAGAGAACATTAAATTTAGTAAATATTATACATTATTACGAAAATTTGAAACATTTATTCTAAAGAATGCAGTGATTTGAAATCTGTGGTCCACGAAATATGGACCTTTACGCATAGTAAAGAAAACATTTTTTACGAAAACGGATTTATTTTCATTTCCAATGTGTCTCGTAAATGACTAAATATTTGCTACATAAATAATAATTAAATATTCTTTATTAAATATTTTACAATGGAATTAATAATTATTTTACAATGGAATTCTTTATTAAATATTTTACAATGGACTTAATACTCCTTAATGAGTTTCCTTTCAAAAATTACAATAAGATTATTTCTGCCTAATTATATATTTTATTTTAGAGCACCGGCGTGGGATTAACCTATTTATGGGTTTACGACTATCACTGTTCAACTTTGTAGCCTTTTAATTTTGAACCCAACCAAAATGAAAAGGGAATTTTTGGATCAAATATTGAGACAAACTAGCATTTGTGAAAGACTTCTTGGTGAAACTATCCCGCATTTGCGTCACGTGGAGAGGAAAACCTTCCCCGGTTTGCCTAATGGCAAAGGAATTTTAAGTCATGATCCGTCGACTACTAAGGATATTTTGTATCAGCACTGTGAGTCGGCAGCGGTATCGACCTGCCATCGCTGGGATTCAAGCCTGAGTCACTTAATCGGGAGACGACTCTATCCCTTAAGCAGCCGCGGCTTCCTAATTATACATTGAATGAATAGACTAATATTCTATTTAATTTCTTATTGTATACTTTCATAAATGTATAAATATTCACCCTACTTAATTAGTGTGTGTCTAGACAAAGTTTTCATTCATTTTAGTGTATGTAGTCCACCTATGATTCTAGTGGCTCTTTAGTTTGGTCTATTTAGTTAAATGTTTATCAAAGTGTGTCAACATTAGACACATTTTATTTAAAGAAAGGCCGGTTGGAGGCAGAATAAATAAAAATAATAATAATTGAAGCAGGAAGTAACATAAAAAGAATAAATGAAAAGTTACAACGTCATCTCCAATTCTTCCTGACTTCTACTACAGCTTTAAAAAAATCTGAGCAAACTTCGATTATAAAATTCGCAAAAGAAATTTATCTTATTTCAATATTATCTTGAGGAGAGTCACTACATTGCCCAGACTTTTTAATTGGGCCACTTTCATTATTTTGTAGTTATTGGCAGTAGTTGACTGTTTATAGAATGGAAAATAGCTGTCTGTGTTGTGAGTCGGGCAAACAATGTTCCTGTACAAGAGACGGTATGATAGGTTAGAACGCTTGCCTCTTAGACTCAAATCCAAGCGACAACTGTCCTGCTCCACACTAAACGTAGTGTTGACGTAAAATATCCTCAGTGGTATAGCCGGATCATTGGTTATAATCTCTCCGCTATCGGGCTAACCATGGGAGGGTTTGCTTTTAAATGTAACGCAAAAATTTGTCACCAATGCTTGATCCAGGACTTCGGCTACGGAGTTGAGCACATGGTCGTAAACTCAAAACTGGGTCAGCTGTTCAACGCCAGATATATATATATATTATGTGTGTGTGTGTAACCGTGAATAACCGAAATCAAGAAAATGTCGACTTTCACTGGTGAATGTCCAAAATATTTGTTATACCCGATTTTATATTAATTTATTCGTTGATATTATTATATTTATTCGATATTTTAATAACTGCTGAGGATAGATTAAGAGAAACATCAGTGTTCGGAGAACCGGTTAAATGCAAACCGGGCAGTGGCACTTGATCTTAAAAAAACATTGATCCTGGGCATACCGGGCAGTGGCTCTTAGCTGGACCTAGTATATGTTTCGGATATTTACCAAAGGGACTATGTGATTATCAACATTCACCGGTAGAAGTCAACAACCACCAGTTTCTGTCATTCACAGTAACATACATATATCTATATAAAAAGGTATGAATTTTGTACTTTTCTCCAAATTTTTCCTAATAAATAAATTATGGATATCAGTGTTATAGTTGTTAATCTCTACGAAATTATAGCATCACCGAAATTTTCTTTAAGCAAATAAAATATATTTATTACTATTTTCTAATCTAGAAATTTATGAAACACTGTTATGCAACGGTATTTATTTAGCAATTAATTACATTTTATGATAAAAAAAAGGTGTACCAAAAAGGCAGAAATTCCGATTAGGAAATTAATAATTACAGCCGCTTATTAAATAATTTTACTTGAATTTTAGAAACTGTAAAAAGTTTATATTATATAATTCTAATATTATGACTCATTCTAATTCGGATTTAAAGCAAATTGACATAACAGTCAATAAAATAAATTATGTTTTCTTTCTGTCAGAAATCGAGAGGTTCTTGAAAGAAGGGTGGATTTTGCTAAACCACTCTCAGAACAAAATATTTTCTGCAATATTTTCTCTCTTTCTTTCTTTTTTAAACAAAATCTATCCGACAACTTTTTAGGATTCTTTGAAAATATTTAATGCATAAACATGAGAGATAAAATTCTCTTTTATTTCCAAAAGCACCCCCTCCCAAACCATGGTACTTTGCTACGCAAAATCTTTGTTTCAAAGGCATATAGGCTCGTCTTGCAATTTATGCTAATATGGATCTTAATTGCCTCCGCTCCAAATAGTACAACTGCATTTTTATTTAAAAAAAAAAAAATACTACGCAAAGTAAAATTACTAAATTTCGAATTTGAGGAATTTTTCTTCCAAGACTGGTTTCATCTTTATTTTCTTTTTATTCCAGGCGTATTCCAGTCTTTTTAATGTCTTAGATAAAGTGATATTCAGTAAAATTTACAGTTAGATAAATTTTCTTCCTGAATATATTTTTAATTAGAATCAATTAAAAGTTTCGAAAAGCACATTTATAGTGAGAGTCACCATACATTTGCTTACAAGATCTTCGATGTCATTTGAACAATTAAACGCAAACCACCATTGTAATTTCCAACTGTGGTTTTAAACTTTAGTTTGCGTTTAGAATTTTTATTTATGCCTTATTCTTTGTGGTTTCTTAAATTATTGGGCAATTATTATCCTAAATATTAAATTAATATTCTAAATAATCAATTATTATCCCAAAATTTGAAGCATACAAAATTGTATCTAAGAAAAAAAAAATCAATTTTCATTTGAACACAAACTACCTACTTGTAAAAATTACAGTTTAATTAGATTAATTAAAGAACTACGAGTGAAGGTATAATTTTCTGGCAAGAATTTCGGACTCTTTTTACCCTACTTTCATAAAACGTAATTAATTTAGAAACAAATATTGTTAGATATAACAATATATTTCAAAGTTCTAAATGAGAAAATATAATTAAAATAATTTATTTATTTAAAATTAAAGAAAATTTGGGTGAAGTGATAACTTAGTGGGGCACTATTTTTAAAGACATGCGTTAAGTCAGCATAGCATTAAAGAATAGTACGAATATAGTAGTAAAATATAGTTCACAGGTATGAATTTTTTTCTTATTATTATCGTTAACTGTTTTAACTGACATACGAGAAATAATAGTTCCCTTATGTCAGAATATAGAAAGCTTTTTATTGCTTCTCTTTCTACAATTCCTTTTTTAGTTGAAAAGAAGCATTTTGATCACTTAATTCAAGCAAATGGTGCTTTTTAAATTCACGAAAAATACTTTCATACTGTATTTTCATAAAATTATCACCCCAGAAACAATTCAAGCAACATTAACTATTTACTTACCCTTAACAGTTGCAGTTATTTTTTCCAAATTAGCGGTATTCATTTGAACCATGCTCGAGTTTAGACGAAATCTGCCAGTTTGCAATTGACTCAAAAGAAATATTTTAGAGTCTTTAATTTTACCATTGCTATCACAGATATCAGGGTTTCCAAATCCTTCCACAATCAAGGATTCGCCAGATTTAATGTAATCTCCTTTTATTACTCGCTTCACCAAAACTTCACCACTGTACAAACCATCTTGAGCACCATATAACCGTTTTACTGTTCCTGTTAAAATAACATCTGCTTGGTCTTCACGGATTTTCAACCTTTCTTCTGGACAATCTCGAAATCGTCTTCTACGACATTCCACTGAGCAAAACAATAATATTATGAAAACGAAACCCGCTTGAATTCTACCCATCATTTTGAGAAGAAAACAGGTCAAATAATGTTTCATGTAATATTGGACGCTTTCAACAAGATCCAGTTTTGCTTTTAGAGACACCTACGATTGCGTTACGCCAAATTTCACCTTCATATTTACCTTTTAAGGTTTTACTCGATTTCATTTCAGCACCTGTTCATATTCTTCAGTTTTAAAGTGGAAAATATTCATATTTTGACGTATAATTTATAAATTAATTAAAAAGATAAATTTGATGATGTATGCAGGACAGTGCTTGAGTATAAAAACACGTTTCTCTTTATGAGTGAGTTATTTATATTTATACAAAGTTTACATGTTTGAAGATATAAACTTTGTGAATATTTTAAAAGAAACATTTGCGTAAAAATGAAATTTTCAAAATTTTTGCTGCTGAAAAATTCTTTTTAAAAGCGTTGCTATTTTATTAATAAAAGTAGACTAGTGCATTCTATTTCAAAACTTGCGAAATTCAAACAGATGATAATGACGATCGAATCTTATTTAGTATTAGGGCCGGTCCGAGCCGACTTTTAAGTGTAAGCAAAAATATTTTTGCCACCTCCCTTTATTATGGATAATAATAAATATTTACGGAGTAAAAGAAACTTTTGTCAGAATTTTAAAATTACATCGAAATCTGCCGTTTTAATTTTTATTTTTATTTTATAAAAATGCGGTACAAACTACTTATACAATATGCTTCTATTTTAAATTCAATAGAGCGGGGAGGGGGGGGGAAGAAAATGTGCAATTAGCTTTTTCAGATGAGTAATCAAAATATTGGATGCCTATATTATATTTGCGTTTTATCTTCTTATCATTTATGCTATTAATTAAAAAAAAAAAGATGTTCGCATGCAGTTATAAATGAACCGCTCAGAAGCCAATGCGGTTAAGTCCATTTTTTGATATTTTCTGATTTTTGGAAATTTTGATGAAATAAATAATGATCTTCTAAATTTATAGACGACTGCAATATTTANATACACTTTTCTAATTAAATTAATAAACCAAGAATTTTAAAAACTAATGTATCAAAAAACATTAATTTTCTCAATTTTTGTGTTTTGGACGGTTAAGCATTGGCATCTGAGCGACTCAATAATCTCACCCTTTATTTTGGAATTATTTTATTTAATAATGATCAAAAAATAAACAATAAGGTATAACATTTTTATCTACAACATACGTTGGAAACATGGAGGACTTTGTGACCCGATAAACATAACGTGCATCAGTCCTTTTACTGCACGGGGAGTCTTCGGCCGGCTGGAAGGAATGTACTAAATTTCGTATTTACTTTTAACATGAAGCAAAGAGCAACTTGAACCTGTAGACTAAATAGACTTTTAGACTTTGAAAAACGAATAGAAATTTTAGCTGTAGGCTTTATTTAAAAGCACTATGCAGTAGAAAATTCAAGGAGTGTCTGCTATTACCTTCTTTTAACAAAGCAATTGTTAATTTTTCTGACAAAACAGGCATATATAAATGCTACCTTCAAAAAACTAATTTTTTTAGAACATTGTAGGAAGTGATATTACTGAAGACAAGTCGATGGAGTGTGCAAAAAAAAAAAATCGGACTACCCTGAATAACTTTTGATCTAATGACCAGATCTTCACGTTCTAGGACTCAATCTAAATGGCTAGAGGGTGCATTATGGTATTATAGAAAAAATATGGCTAATGGTTGGAGGGGGTGACTACAAATACACTAATTAATTGGTGCAGACGATATTTTAAGTTACGAAATCAGACACATAAACGTACTTTCTCTGCAAAAACATACCTTTTCTTCGAAAGATTTAGATTTCTAATCCCCGAAATATATGGGATAGCCCTTAGAGGAGGGGTAGCCACAATCTGGGAAATATGGTCAGGTCAGGAGAGAGCAAAGTTTGGACCCGCGACCTTTTAGAATGTTAATTTTACTTTTTGATTATTTCGCCATATCTCGAGAAATTTTGAAGCGAATTGAAACCTTTTTGGGCACAATTATAAAATTCATTTATCCAAAGAAATTTTGGATAAAACAAGAAATTATTCGTTTATCAAAATTCGTTTATCCATGCAAAAAATAATATTATTTTTTAATATTTTATTTAATATTAGTCGAAAACATTTTGAATTGTAAGGTATACAATTCTTTATATCATTTTAAAGAATATAATTTTACATGAGAAAATACAAAATTTGAGTGAAATTGGTCAAATAGTTCCTGAGAAATCAAATATTTTAAAAAATGTAATTTCTCAGGAACTATTCGACCGATTTCACACGAATTTTGCATTTTGTCATGTAAAATTATATTCTTTAAAATGATGTAAAGAATTGTCCACCTTACAATTCAAATTTTTTTTCGACTAATATTAAATAAAATCACAATTTCATGTAAAAAAAAACTTTCAGTAAATATTTATCTCTCGATAAACGAATTTTATAATTATGTGAAAGAATTTTATAATTATGTGCATTTGTCAATGAAAGCAAAGGACTTGAAATTAGTTTCATTTTAATAAAATGATGATAATGCTGATCTTAAATAATAGATGTAAGAAAGTCTTTCATTTCGCGAGATATGGCCAAATACACAAAATGTAAAATTAACATTAAGATAATTAAAATTAACCTAAAGAGGATTAGAAATGTTTTAATACACAAGCTAATGCACTAATATAATATGGTTGTTTTATATATATTTAACTAAAACTGGTTATTAATTTAACAGTGAACTCCACTATTCAGTATTACAGCGATTTTTTTAATCTGTTTCCTATGCTTTTTATTTAAAAAAAGCATAGGACTTCAGAAAGCATTAAAGTAATTTAAAAAGTTATTGACATATAAAGTAATTAAAATGAAAGTTATTAAAACATGGACAAATTATCAGTTAGTTAAACTAGCTAACTTTGAGCAACCTTTTCTTCAGTTTATACTAAACTGGTTTTAATTATACTCAAAATATTGTTTTGATGCATATTTTAACTTTAAAAAATAGTGTAGAATTTGAACTCTTTTTTTTTTAAAAGGAATTTTAATTAAAAACTTAATCATGAAAATAAAGAAAAAATACAACAAATAAATTCAATATTTTTTTAATTATAAAAACTTATAAAATCATGCTCTATTACACGAAGGAAAAAAAAAAGATTCCGAAAATTTATACAATATTTTCTGAAAAAGGGTGTGCGCAAAATAAAAAAGTGCAAATTTTCATTAAATAATCGGATTTTCAGACACTAGGACTCAATCCTAATGGGTTCAAAAGTCCATAATTAACGCAGGCGATGTTTTAATGATATAATAAATTACAAAATCCGACACAAAAACGTACTTTCTTTGAAAAAATAAATCTCATTTCCCCAGATTTGAAATTCTGATACTCAAAATATGGATATCAGCTGGCCACAATCTGGAAAATATGGTCGCAATAGTTTAGGCAGGAGGCAGTCGAAAGTTCGCAACTTTTTAAGTTAATTTCACCTTTTGCGCATTTCACTAAATCACGAGAAATTTTTAAGCGAATCAAAAGAGTTTTGTACACAATTATAAAATTCGTTAATCCAAAGATCCATAATTTCATTTGAATTTTTTTTAAATAATTTTTAATTATTTTATCTAAAAGTTGTCGAAACACTTTTCTGTTGCAACGTATACTAATGTTTGCACCGTTTCAAAGTATGCAATTTTAAATAACAAAATTTGCGAAATAGATCGAATAGTTTCTGAGTTAGCAAATTTCAAAAAGCCGTATATTTAGATTTTGATTTCTCAAGAATTATTCCATCAATTTATATTAAAATTTTTTGTTGTCTAAAATTACATACTTAACAATATAATACCTTGCAATTCAATTTCCCTTTTGTAGATAAAATATATTATAGTAACTATTATTTTACATAAAATTATATTCGGATAAAGGTATTTTAAAATTGAGTGCAAAAACTTTTTGATTTGCTTAGCAATTTCCAGAGATATGGCGAAATACGAAAAAAATGAAATTAACATGGATAGGTCCAAACTTTTAATCGCTCTCCTGTATAAATTATTGGGACTATATTTTCCAGATTTCAGTCACCCTCCCCTTATTTCAAGGGTGAGAATACCAAAACTGTCGAAATTTGTTTTAAAAATATATGTTTTTCTGAGAAAGTACTTTTTTGAGTCTGATATCATAACTTAAAAAAAAAACTCAGCATTAATTTGAACGATTTATATTTAAGGTTAAGTCTTTGAACTACAAAGGTTGAATATGCGAAAATCCGATCCTTAGATTAGATTAAAAGTTATTCTGAACGTTCACTTTTTATTTTGCACTCACTTTTATTTTGCGTTCACTTAGTATTTTTCACTGAAAAAAAAGCAAAAGCATGGGGGGGGGGATTTAGAGGTCCCCAAGACGTTTCAGAGATGAAAAGGATGCTTTGTATTAGTGTAGGAAATCAATTTGTTACGCTTGTTTACACAAAGCTTTTTCCCAGCTCTAGTTTTGTATTTCAGGCCTCAGCTATTCACCGACTATATAGGTCAGGGATGGCGAACCAATGGCACGCGTGCCATTTATGGCACCCGACACAATATTTCGGGCAGAATAACAATAAATAACTAGCAAAAAAAAAAAAACAGTCCCGTTTAAACTATCATCTTACAACCTAATAGTATAAGTTATTTGTCATCTAATCTGCAACAACAAAAGTCACACTGATGTTACTTTAAGTTGAATTACGCGTATAACTGAGACATTGCAAAAATTTTTCTTTTCAATGTAAATAAAGAGCTTTGAGTTGATAGTATTTAGTATTATTTTCCCAATAATCATGAAGTCAAAATTATTTGACGGCACGTCTATGACCTCATCGAACAATTTTTTAGAAAAAATGGCACGTTGGTGTATAAAGGTTCGCCACCCCTGATATAGGTGGTCTGTTAGGAAAAAGCATTGGTCATTTTGTGAATACACAACTTTGTTTTTCGTGTCCGCGTGATTGAAATAATTATAACACAATATCAATTTAGTTAAAACCATGTAAGGACTTAAAAACGGAATTAAAATACGTAAAAAATTATGTCTAGTAGAAATTTGTTTTTATCACTGGTGCTTCGTGGTGCCCTACGCATGAGCTTAGTATGTTTAATGGTTAATCTGGCCTTGGTAATTGCCCTAAATACTCAGTCCTAAAAAGTAATTCTCTTATTTTTTGGAGATATTTAGCTCGTTTACTCAAACTTTTCTTAACTACCTGATCAATATCTACGACACCTGAGGAAGATATCTCGTGCAAGAACATTTCGGAAATTGTGAAATAAGGGTCTCGTATTTATTATTCTTTCATAATCAATATCTCATAGTCAAGAGCAGCGCGTCCTAATATTTTACATGAGATTTGTTTCACCATCTGGATTAGGCACTCCCACCAGCTTGCCGAAGGAGGATTGAACTTAAAATGTATCTTTTGTTCTGCAACTCTTTAGTTCAATTTATCCCTATCTATTGAACGAAGAGCCTTTTCTGCGATGATGAAATTTGTTCCGTTATCGGAACATTTAACTGAAGGTCGTCCTCGTCGAGCAGTAAATCGTATTAAAGACTGAAAATATGCTTTGGTTGTCAAAAGGGTAATGCTTAATACAATTACGAATGGTCTTACGACTTTTCAAATCCCAATATTTTTCTCTTAGGTGAGACAACAATAAAGAAATATTAGCACGTAAGTAATCAACATAACTTAAAATTAACAATTTTACAACAGGATGATTATTTGGCAAAATAATTGGATAAATGAAATCAGATGGATCATCACGATAATCAAATTTGGTTTTATCTCTTATACCACCATTTTGGTCAACAAATGGTCTTAATTGCTCAAGTTAGTTATAATTTACATCTTTAAAAATATCATTTTAAATTAATAACGTAAGAGAAATTTCAGCTTTACTAAGTTCATCTTCACTTAAAACCTTAGAAAAATTCTTATATGGTGAAAAATGTTTACAATACCAATATTGATCACTGTCATCCGTATTTAAAGCAATTATTACCGTCTTACGTAGCTCTGAATTAACCAATTCTTCACTTGGGTTTTCTTCTGATTTAGGTCAATTTTCTTCCTTATCGTAAAGTCAAATAGGTCCCTCCATACAACGACGTTGAATTAACTGTTCAGCAGTGCCGCCATGTGATGTAATATCGGCAGGGTTCAATCTACCTGGCAAGTGGCGCCACATGATGACAGAAGTTATCGAAGGAATTTTTTTAACGCGATTATATACAAGTAATTCCCATTTTAAATTACGCTTAATTCAACTCAGAGCGGTGGTCGAATGAATAAATTTAAATCAAAATTGTGATGGCACGTCTTCGGATCATCCTGAGGGATGTTTTTCAGACCGTTGCAAATAGCCCATTGTGCAGTTCTAGTGCGGCGTAAATAAACTACAACAATCCGTAATCCAAGGTAACGCGATTTCTTATTTCCCACAGAATTGACTTTAATTGTCTCCTCAAAATGTTTAAGTATCTTTTTTTAACTCGAATTTAGTCTGACTCATCATGGGATCGGAGATACCTAAAAAATCAAGGCGCCATAAGTCAGCGATTCCACTATCGTTGAGAAGATAAGAAATAAAAAGAGAGTTTCATTCGTAATTGTATGCGTATTTGCATAAATTACTTCCTTATAAGCTGTTTTTGAGCTTCTTTTCTATACACACCAGGCCTGAACTTATATTTATTTTTCCTGTCAGTATTTTACAAGCTATATCTGCTCCGATTAATAATTTTATTTCTTTGTCAACAGGGTATTTTTTTTACGTTCTAAATCACTAATATTTAACTCTCTAATCCATGGCCTATATGGAATTTGTTTAATATCAGAACAAAATTTATTTTGATTAAACACTTGAAATTTATGTTTACATTTATGATCAACACTACTTAATACAATACAAATTATGAATACTTTCAGAAGTTTCTACACCACCGAACAATGATTGTTTTAACTTCACTTATAGGTTTTAAGTTCATATAATTGGCAACATTGTTACACAAATAATTACGACGTGAACCCTGGTCCACAATTGCTCTTATTAACTTATAATTCTTACCATTAAATATTTTTACAACCAAAGTTTGGAGCAATACATCCGTGAGATTTATTTGATTACTTAAGATATTGGTTTTATTTTCGTAATTTTCTTCCGGGGAAACATGATCTACCTTATGATTTAGATTATATGGGCTTAATATTTCAAAATGTCTATTTTTACAAATAGAACATCTAACATGCTTCGACCTACAATGATTAGCTCTTTGTCTTTTTTTTTAAACAAGCATTAGTTTTCTTATTATATCTTTCTTATTTTCTAAAGACATAGAAGCTGTTTCCTTACAACTCTCTGATGCATGCGACTTATCACAAAATATACATATATAATAATAATCTACTTTTTTTTGACTTAATATGTTTATTTCTTAAATTAACTATTTGCAGTAAATAATTCAGACGAAGTAGGAACTGAATACTTATTTTTATACTTATCTAAATTATTTCTTTTGGGGATATATTTATTAGATAAAAATTCTTTTGAAAGTTTTAGTTTTGATTCAGTCTCTACTTCGATTCTTAAGAGAAATCTACTATTAAATCTAAATCAGACTTACCCTTTTTTTCAAACTGATTTTTCTGTCGTTCGTAAACTATTAATAAATTCGATGGTACTGTTGATTCACAACTAATGGATACAAGAAATCAAATTACTTATCTTGTGTAAGTTCAAGGACTTGCAGGTCTCTTAATTTTCCTTGTAGTTCATCGTATAAGACTGATAAGTCAGTTTTTGTTTTGTCATCAGTGACCAACTTCAATAATTCTTTGATAGAAATCTAGATTAATACTTTCGTTACCAAACCTCTCCTTTAAATATTCCATGGCTTGCTTATAATGTTCGGCAGTAAGAGGGGACGTTTCTAATATTCTTATTGGTTCGGAAGACAGCGTAGTGGTTTGCAGTAAATAGGAGAACTTGTCTCTATCATCCTTTCTCTCGTCTTCGTTAATTTTTTTCAAACTGATTCCAGAAAGATTGCCAATTCCTTGGATCTCCATCAAACTCAATTTAATCCAATTCTGGTAACTTATAGTTGTTCGTAGTGGCACTCACTTCTGAAGCGTTATTGATGGCATTGCTTACTACTTTGTTCTTGGCCGCGAATATCTTATTTGTTTTAACTTTTAGAGCTGAAAACTTTTCATATTAATCCTCAGGGCTGCATTTCAGACTCTGCATGAGTTTCAAATGTTCGTCTTGTGATTGTCGTAATAGACGATTTTTCTCCGTAATCCGTTCCAAATAGATTTCTATTTCCAAAAAATCTGGATTGATATCTGCTATGAGAGCTTCCAACTTATTTGCAGTTCTAGTAAAAGAAGTTCGTAATGCTGTACGAGCCTGTTTAGAAGCCTCCATCTCAATTTATGAGTAATTGTAGTTATTTCGTTGGCGTCGTACTTAGTGCTTTCGTTTTTACATTTATTCGTAATGTATCGTGCTGGCAGGGATGCCATAAATTGTCACTGTTTAAAAGGTCCAGGATGATACCAGCACTAATTAACAACATATTTTATTGACAAAACAAAATTAGCAATGGTATATGATTAACAAGCAGACAAACTTACATCCAGATCTCATACTTAAAAGGAGATTAAAATAAAAGTATTTGAGGGAGGTTATCCAATGGAGAAGCGCATGCGCTAGCGTCAAAGTTTCAGTTCTGATTTTAACTTACTACATCATAGTTGGAACTAAAATTTATAGAAACAGGAAAAAAAAAATAGTTGGATTTCCGATTCTTTTTATTTTTACAACAGTAGCTCTCAAGTTTTATTTTAGATAACACTAAAACAATGAACTTTTATTATTATTCCCAGATTCAAAGTAGGTGCAATTCATGAAAAGAAAAAAGAAATTAGTTGGGATCCCTGGTTTTTCTACAATAGATCAGGGAAAAAAAATGTATTTATGTTTTAAATAACATTAAAATATTCACAATCGTATAATTTATTTTCTGTTTCAAAACAATTCGAAGGAAAAAAATAGTAAATAAAAACTAATAGCTCCACAGCAAATTTAAAGAGCCCAACATCATCCAAATCATTTAAGCATATCATAAGATGACTTGGAAACTTGCTAAGATTTGAAGACCCCAATCCTGCAAGTAAACTGACTTTTGGCAAACCGTCTATCACTAAGAAAAGAGGATGCCCAGCTATCAGGTGGCTGGACAAAGTAGAGAAAGATTTTGTCACGTTAGGTGTCAGATATTGGAGAACAGTGGCCTTGGATAGACAAGGATTGTGGAAGTTGACTCGGATAGCCTTGGCTTGTTCTAGCTGAAGTTCTGCAGTAGTTATGATTTATGATTCCTGATTTTCTTACATCAGGAAGTTCTGAAGCATGACATTTTTATTTATGTTGCTAGAAATATTTTCAGCCAATTCATTTATTGTTTCTTAATTTTATAATACAATAAAAAGAACAAAAATATCACAATGTGTCATCAGTTTCACAAATTTCTTATTTAATGATTGAAAGAATATAAATTTTTTTCAAACAAAACAGTTCTTTTGCAATTGGAAGTTAAACTTTAAAACAATAAAATAACATACAAAGAAATTAAAACTCAAAAATAATATCACAAAAGTAACTAAATGCTTTTTTTTTTTTTTTTTTACAAAATTCATAACAAAAGGAAAAAAATTCATAAATGTTCACAGGAGAAATCAAAAGTGCTGTCTTCCAAAATTATGAACGCTTTTAAATAAAGCTCTTCTCTTTTTTAATAATAAATGTTTCTTTTTAGTAAGCTTTTTTACTTTATGCTGTAATTTACGCTTAGCAAAACGTAAAGAGCATATTTCACAATCAGTATTTGATTTCATCGTTGAATCCACTGAAATAATCATCTGAAAGTAAGGAAAGAGAAACAAAACATGTTTTAGTAAATTTTAGAAACTGAAGACATTTGAGTATTTACAAAAACTAGCATCAACTTTTAAATATAAATATTTAAAATACTAGAAAAGCGGAACATATAAGCAATGTCAAATATTTACAATAAACAATTTGAAAAATAACTACACATATTGCACTTTGTTATGCAACGTGACACAATCACATCTCTTTTTTTTTTCAGTCACAGAAAAACAAACAATTTTTTTACTTACTTATATGAACAGAAATTAACAGATAAAAAAATTGATAAGAGGGAAAATTACTATACAGTAAATACATAAATGATCACATGATTATTAAAAACTTGTTTATACACTTTATAGCATTAAAAATGAGTATTAAATTAGTTCCCATTAACACATGGAACTATATAACTAGAATAAATTAGTTAAAATACATTAGTAAATTGTTGCTAATGAACAAAAATCAAACTATGTTTTTGATATAAATGAAAATCGCTTGTTAAAATAATTACAATTTTGACGTATTACTTGACAAAATAAAGTGGTGACAATAATTCATTGTTTTAAATCAGTTTCTAAAAAAAATTAAGATGCTTTACATAACTGTGATTGCTACACAATATTTACAATAAAAAGATATCTACACAGGAGTCTGATTTATGGTTATAAACATACAAAACCTATTTGAGACCCATTCTTTTTGTAGAAAGAAAACAAAAACTTTATGTTTATAACCTTAAATTGAAACACCAGTGTAATTTATGTGGTAAAGTATCTTGTAACACATTTTTAAAATTACAACAGTAACTAAAACAAGAAACTATCAGCACACTTTTGAACTTTTTAAGGTAACGAGGCTGTTCTTTAACACAAACAGGCAAAATTCCAACATCAAAATTTTAAGCATCCTATGACAGTTGGCATTGCCTTACTAATTTTCTGTTTTTAGTGCATTATAAATGTTTTACATAAAATCAAAAAACACAGATATTTGAGTATTTTTATAAATGGGTTATATCCAGTTAAGTGGACTAAATCTTAATAAATCTCCCTTTCTCCAAGTTCTATATAGTTTGGTACACAAGGGTTTAGACCTGTTAAAGTAAATTCTGCAAAGTTTTAAACCAAATGACTAAAAACAACAAAAGTAAAAGGAACTAATCAAAACTCATTCATTGAGTGTATCCTTAAAAAGTTAATTTCAGTAAGAGACCCACTTAACCATGTAGCTAGAAAAAATTTAAGTCTTGTATTTCATGTAGGTACTTGAAAAATGAATGCTACTGCACTATAAAAACTTGATATTTTCGAAAAAAGTTTTAGAGCAATAGGAATTTAATTTTAAAAAGTTCAACAAAATTTTTTATTATTTTCCTGTTTAAAATCCTCACTCTTTTAAAAATTCTAGTTTTAGTGAACTAGAACTTTCTATTTCTAATGCTGTTCAAAGCATTCAGTGTCTCCCCCTTTCAGACATTTCTCTAAAATTTAAAGCGGAAGTAAAATCTTTGCTTTATCATTTGTGTAATAAATTTAATTGATTCCCCACCATGATATATTAGTAATTGAATGGAATATAAAAACAATCCGATATCACTAATCTAAGATTTTTTTAAGAGGCAAAATTTTTCAAAAAATTACTTAGTTTCATTTTTATTTTAAAACCACTTTATTGTAGGGGTCTAAGACAGCAGGGTTGGTAGCTCAGGTAATTAAAAAAAATATAAATATTAAAGTCAATTCACTAAAATGGAAGAATGAAGCTTCAAAAATAATGAAAATTTTCATTATTATTTCTGACTTAAGAGTAAGTAACTTCAGATATATTCATCCAAAATAAAAAAAGTTCTTCAGCAATTCAGTATAAACCACACAAGTTCCTATATAAAATTTAAGGTCAAATGGCTTTACTTTACTTCTCAAGTTTTCAGTTTATGAGTCTTTGCAGAGACTTTTTGAAAGGTCAACACAACTGTGTGCTAAATTATGCATAATTTTAAAATTATGAGGTGGGAATTACTTGTCCAGTTGTAAAGCCCAAAAGAGAATATATAACCTAGCAGACAACAATAAATTAAAAAAAAAAAAAGGATAGATATAAAGATAAAACTAAAAACAATATATTCTTAAAAGATATGTTAAATATTAGGGAGAACCTTTTGTCCCCTCGAAGAAAAAATTAAAATAGATCATATTACACCAGCATAAATAAAGAAAAAATAGTAAAGTTGTTCAAAACCAGAATTTCCTAATGGAAAAAAAAGTTCCTAGTTTTTTTCCCTCTTTAAATTATCTTAACTATAGATCATCAACAGTTCTTAAACTATAACTGATGATTTTATTATAATCAAATTAAATTATTGAGGAGGAAAAAAAAGAGCTGGATATTTTTAATAAAAACTATGGATATTTTTAATAAAAATTAAGTTTCTATAGTTGAATTTAAGCTAACCTAAAATAGGACATCTTAATTTTGATTTATACATTGAGATACATAATTAGATTATACAAATAATGCATTTTTCTTTTCACAGCACACATTCACACAGTACACATTACATTATAATTAATCTAGTTGATTTTTCCCCATCTCGCATCCTATTTCAATTCATATTAATTTAAAATTTGACCATTTAAAGCAAGTAAACAATCATTTTTCAAATAAAGCAGCATACTTTTTTTTAAAGGGTGAGAAAACACTCAGAATTTTAAAATACGCAAACTAGAGTGGAAAGTAAAATTATAATAAAAATTGATTAGTTTTCTAGCAATAGAAATGTGAACATATGAACCACAGCAGATTAAGCATGTCTTAAGCCTCAACTTCTGAAGTTCTCAAACTTCTTGTGTCAAGGAACCCTTTAACGAATTTTTTTCCCTTCAGAACCCCAATCCTACATTGCCCTTTTTTTTTTTTTTTTTTTCAATTTATTAGTTTAACTATTAATTATAAACATTAGTTTCTTGAATCATTTCATCCTCTGTGATTTTGGACCAGTGTGCTTTACAAACCATATTTTTTAAATTCATGAAATATTTATAAAAATTTTAGTTTCCCAAATCTTTAATGACACTTTTTTTTCACAAACTACATTCCTTTCAGATGAATAAATAACCTGAAAAAATAAAGATATAAAAACAAGACTAATTATCTGTATAAAGCACACGAAACTATGAATTTAACTTAGAGTAAGAAGTATCTTAAGTATGCAAAAAATTTATTTTGAATATTGCACACTGAAATTTTAAAGATTAAAGAAGATACTTGAAATTGATAAAAATTCAGTGACGTACTGAATTATTATCATTTTTCATAAAAATAGCTTTAAAATCTAGCTTTGAATTTAAAAGTTAAATTCCGAAATCAAAAGCAATGCCCATCTTGGTCCGAAATATTTTTTTGATATGCATCGGAAAAAAAACTTGCTTTGTAATGATAGGATTAAATAAATGGCAGAAATATGTTTAGAGCTTTTCTGGTTATTTTAGGATATATGCCTTAATTTTTTACCCAAAAATCACTCAAAGGCATTTCTTCAAAATTTTTAAAACAAGAATTACATTTGATTATAATCAAATACTCATTATCAAGTGTAAACCACATTTTAAGCTTTATCTCAATATTATAGTGGTTTTGCAACCATTACAATTTGGTATTATACACAGGAAGATATTTCAAAAATTGACTTTTAAAATTAAGCAAATTTTTCAACGATAGTGTACTGCACATAATTTTTTACTTTTTTACTGTTCTCAGTTGAAAAGGAGAAGAAAACATTTCAAAATTTAGCTCTTTTGAACTTTCTATCCAAAAGTCATTTAACATTGAAAATTTCAATTTCGTCATTGGCAGAAACTAATACACCTAACAGTTTAGTTATCTTTTGTAAACCATTCAAAATATTTTTCTCTTCTTGTACAAGAAATAAAAACATTTTCCTTTTTTTTTAGGGAATAAAACTTAAATTATACTTCAAAACAAACAGCCTTTTATGTCAGTGAAAATATTTAGAATTCATACACATTAGAACAAAATAATGTAACACGATTCCTACATCACTAAATTGAGAAATTAGGCTCCAGCTGTAACTATGAACTGAAACTATTTCAACTGGAATGAATGAATATTTTTTTATGAATAATTGAAATATATGAGAAGATTTCTTTACGTGAATGTCTTACATCAGCAATAAAAAGCTAAACTTTTCTAATAAATGTATAAGATTTCGTTTTAAAAAAAAATACAACTTTTTTATTTATAAACTTTGGCACTGATCATCATTGTTTAAAAAATTTATTTTCACTACATTCACAAGTAAACTTTAAATAACAAAAAGAAAAAATAAAGTATATATTGCAATTCATAATTTTGAAACTGTGTTTTTTAGGATTGTTCTAAACAATTATTTTTTAATATTTTTAAACCTCTATTACCCAGCTTTACACAGAAATAAATGTTATTTTTTGTTACAAATACCATATGTAACACTTTTTGACCTTCTTACTTTTTTTAGTATGTCGGCAAAAATTGGAAGGGGCTAACATCAAAATTTTTCTTATGGATACTTTTACTCTATATATTTATAAATATATATATTTATATATACTCTTTCCGAAAAGGTTGGCCACATTTGCCCTTTTTATTTCTTCCACTTCATGGACCAAACACACAGAAAAATGAGAATAAAGCTTATCTAAATATTGTATGTGCACAAGAGATTTTAAACAGTAACACATCATTTATAGTCTGAATCAATACATGTTAAAATTAAAGCTTACTAAGCAAACAATTATTAAATTTCAGTTAACAATGAATAACTACTGAATGTAAAATTTTATAAAATATAGCTAAAAGTATTATAACATATATATATATATATATATACACAGTCAACCCCGGTTAAAGGTATACCATCGATTCCAACCAAATCTATGCAATTAAGCGGTTTATTCGATTGGGATAGCAATATTCAATCTTGAATCTTGAA